CAAGATTAGCAATAGCGCTGGCAGCTAACAGCGTGAAGCAAGGTGTTATTGATAATGCGCCCACCATATTTAAAAGTCATTATCCTGATGGAACTACTGTATAATGTAACAGTTAAAAAAAGTACACTTAATAGACATCTCTTCAGTTTCGCGTGCTGGTGGTTAGCATCTTCATCCACACATTTAGGGTATTTGCATAGATAGCAAGCACTTCTTTTCACCACTTGAATGAGAAAAGTGTGCTGGTGCCAGGCATTTAAAGTGCAGCTTGCTCAGCCATTGTTATTCAAGTTGTAAACAAACAACAGTTTTGATGTATTTTGTGTTTATTTTTTGCTACTTTATTCTCTTCAAGTGATTCTGACCAAAAAACATTCTCATGTGAAAAAGTGAATTTAGTTGCTCATGTTATATTTGCTTACACTTCAGATGCATGGATTGTTTGTTTACATTTCTTTTCGTCACATCATAATGGTGGTACTTTTGGTCACTATCATCGTGATATTAGGTTTTCAAACCATTTTAAAACTAGTATTTATTAACATGAGGGGGAAGCACAAATGCAATGTAAGGTTCTGCTTGCCAAGATTTCCTAAGCAATGATCTTCTGTTGAATTGAAATCAAATATTTTAAACCTAACACACTTTGGATGTTACCAGGATTCTCAAATATAATAAATTCAGGATTTCCTGCCAGGCTTCATGTTTCTGTGTGTGAAGCGCTCCTCATTTATGAGGATTATCTACATTCCACTGGAGATACGAACCAAAAGCACAATGAGGTTCAGCGTCTTTAAATGTGGAATATATAATACGCTGTTGCTAATTTGATTTTGTGCTTGATCCTTGAATAACGACTGATGTCTAGAAATAACTTAACTGTTTTTACTGCAAAAATAATGACATCAAAAGAACTCATTCCCATTCGGTGGGATGCTGAGGACATTAGAGTGTATATAGGTGGTGCACATTTTCCATCATGCTAATGGTTTGCGTGTGCAAAAAATTACAGAATAATTATTGGACTGCTATTCTATTGTGTTCGTGTGGAAGGGTGGTATCCTTAAGGCATGTCTAAATACCTTTGAAAGACTTTCTCGATGCTGAGGTGTTCACTTTTTGTCGATCCCACTCAAGCACACCTACCCTAATTTGTATAGGTAAGAGCATTTCTATTAAGATGACTTACATGTGCTTAGCTGAACTACCAGGCAGGACAAGAGGAGATTTTTCAGATTTTGAAGATGCAATTAAAATATATATATATATTCTATTATACTCCTTCATTTGAGACTTCAAAACATTTGCGTTTGGAACCGAGAAATAATTGCAAATTATTTTCGTTTGCAAGAAAAAGTGCAATATTGGCCAGTGTTTCAGTTGCGTTGAGTGGGGAGTGTATATTCATGAAGAAGATATAAAACAGACTTAACACCGTGTATTTTTATGACATTATCATGTCCTCCTAGTTGATGGCAGCTCGTTCATTTGCATGTTGACCTGCCCGGAGCATAAATTAAGCCAATCCATCTCTCTCCGACCTCGCTCCCTGGTGGCTTACTTAGTATCATGCCAATGCAACCCTGACTGCAGAATGGGCAAGTCGAAGCGTGCAGTCTGTCTTGAAGCTAAACTGTCTGACAGTAAAAAAAGAGGCCTCTGCCTGCTCCTGAAAGCAATCGAGAGCAAGCGGGCCTAGTGGGCATGAACTGTGAGAGCCCAGACAGGGCCAAAAAACATACAACACAACACAATCGACTTAAAGGTTTGCTGCACTATTGAATATAATAGCACTAAAGACATCACATCGCTCACGGGCCTGGATGAGGACTCAACGTACTCTGCTGAGGATTCCAAGCAGACGAAAGGCTTATGAATAATTCGAAACATCCTTTTTTTTTTTTCCATCCTGATTTACAGAAAAGGAAACTCACATCTCATACAGTCTGACTGCTAAAAACAAAGCCTGCAATGTAACATGCATAATTCAAACATGAAAAATTTGATAAATTAAATTCGATATCGATTTTTTTAAATTAAACATTTCTTATGTTTTGTGGTGCTTGCTTTCCAGTCACTTTTCTTCATTTTGAAATACAAACATTTTGCTTTTGAACAAACTGTATGTTGTGGTTACCTCCAGTTTATGTGAGCAAAACACATTGCTAGGAATTAGTGGTGACGATATTCATTCATATTCGATTAATCAACAACCAACCGATTATCAAACCAACTATTGTCAGGATAAAGTGGTTCAGATAATGAATGGATGAAGTAATCGTTTCGAACCATTACGCAACTTGAAATTTTCCAAATCCTGATTTCAGCCTCTAAACAGTAATTATTCTCAGAATTTTGTTGTCATTTAAGATAGCAGACCGATTATTTCTTGTCTTTAATCAAAAATAAGGAAATTTGCAAGAAACGGAATCAGTTTTAAAAAGGTTGGTGCGAAAAAGATCAATCCCTCTCTGGTTGAATAGCTTTATTGTCGTTAAGCTGTTATTTTTTTAAAACACCAAACAAAATCAAATAAACACCAATTGGTTACGAAACAGTAATCAGAAGGGAAATGGTTTTGTAATACACTTTAATGAAAAATAAAACTGAATCAAATTATTCTATTTAATCTATACAATAATCAATGTTAGACTTGCAACAATTATCTTGATTAAATGACAACAAATCAAATATCAAATCAATCCATAATTAGTTTTGATAATCGATGAATCATTTAGATATCTTTATTTCACTTGAACTTGTCCAAATGCTCATAATTTCAGACTCTCAACAGTAAGCATCCGATTTATGTCATACTCAATGAAACCAGATCGATTATTTTTGTGTTGAATCAAACTCGAAACAATTTGTTTTACTTTGAAAAACAATGTGGTTTTTTTTTGCCTAATCAACAGATTAATTGATTATTCAAATAATCATTAGTTGTAGCCATAGTCACGATCATTGATTATAAGAATATTCAATAGCGACAGACCTATTAGCAACTTTGCCCTGCGCCAAAAAAAACTGCAGGAAAGTGTTGCTCCTCCTTTTGTACAGAGATATATCAATAGTGACAGAATACTTGCGGGCTGCATGGCCAATGACACAAATCATCAATTAAATTCTCAGCATGGTTCAAAAACAAACTCCATTTGTATTGTCCCGAAGTGGTGACACATTATAACCAAGAACAAACATCACCATGGGTGATTGGTAGGGATTCTTTTTCATCCGTTTTTCTATGACTGTGTGCAGTACAGCGCCAGAGTTTGATTTCAGCTGGGAAAAAGGTAGGAACAGCAACAGTAACACTTAATACTCAGAACCCTGCACATGTCAAATGTGTCTGACAGTCGGAGTTAAGTGGTCTAAATCGCAATTGTGATTCCACAGGCAAGCACATGATTACTCTAAAAATGGCCAGGGCATATTTAATCAAGCTTATGTAGAAAGGGCTGATTCAAGTATTCACTGTGGAGGGCCATTGTTGTTGCACCTTGCCCATTCTACCACTGAATACGACTATATGCATTCATTTAAGATATATATTTTCAAATTCCCTTGCAATTAACTTTTTTCGTGAAGAGATGTGATCATGACTAGCAATAGCTATGGTTGTCATCTATGAGAGGTTAATATAGCATATGGATGGGCATGCTTCAAAGCTGACAAGAATACAGAAGAACAAAAAAATCATTGAATTCGGTTTTAGTTCAAATGACGGACGACCAGGTCAAGGTCAATCTGGGACTTGTAAACTTTCACTGGCAAGAACATTCAGAATGACAATCAGAAAGTGTTTATGTCTTGAAAGAAGTCAACCACCCTCGGGCTCTTTCAAGTCAATCAAATTTGGCTGACAAGACAGGAATGATGAGTATCCGAACGATCAAAAATCTGTCTCGGCGAATATAAAGTGTTAATCCTTCCAAAGAAGGAACATTTTCTTGGGAGTTTCTTTTAGTCTGTCTGAATGAACGTGAGGGTCACTTATCATTCTGTTTAAACTTCAATCCAGTGCATATATCTATCTATCTCTATATAGATCTAGATAGATAGATAGATAGATAGATAGATAGATAGATAGATAGAAATTATAATTCACACATTCCACTAAAAAAAATCTGGAAACAAAAATACAGTTACTTGGCACAAATTTATAAAGGTACCTGTACAACTCAAAAATAAGTAACCTCCAAGAAATGATCCAAACATCTATAGCAAAGTCGTATTATTTCTTAAGTCTTCAGTTGAGACTCTTTTTTTTGGGGGGGGGGGGGGTACACGGTACATGTTTTTTAAGATTCGACAATAGAACAGGAGGAAATACTTTCCTATCTGAGTTGAGTACTGTTACCTCGTATCTTTTGTCACTGGTCAATTGTTTGATATAAGCTATTCCAAGTATTAGTGACAATAGCATCCGTGCTTTTTTACATCGTGACTTCAGCGTTTCGTTTGAAAACTGACATTATTTTGAAATGTAATGGATTAACTACATTTTGTTAAAGTGATAAAGACACAAAAGGTTCAACTGCAGTCCAATTACTCGGTTGCAAAGAATCTGTTCTACTGTTTAATTGTTTAGCGACAATTGCGTTGCAAACATCCGAGAACCTATAGGTTATCTATAACATTTTTGGGTAAACAATAAGAAAACCCGTCGAAAATACATCCGACGTGCATTCGCCGCAAAAATCGCCGATACATTTAAATCCAAAAGGAGGGGGAAAAAATCCAGCGGTCTGTCCCTCCAGCACAAGAATACGTGTTCCCTCCTTTCCCTCTTTTTTCCTCCCCTCCACTACTTCCCCCTCCCTCTTTCTCTTCCTCTCTCTCCCTCCCTCCCTCTCTCACTCACTCACTCTGGCCTTGCTGCCTGTCTGACTCCATGAACAATGTCCTGCCTTTTGTAAAGGGGGGGAAAGGGGGAAAGGGCCGCTCGAATGTAAAGCCCTGCTCACAAGCACTGACATTGAAAATGAATGACAGCTTACCTGCATGCCAATCTTCATCAGACTGACACAGGGTTGACAGCACAGCCTATACTCCTCCACGCAGCAAGTGACGTCAGACATAGCAAGCCCCTCCCACCTCCTGCTCTGTCTCCGCTCCCCCCATTTTCTCAACACATAACAGTGCCGCTGATGCTTTCAAATGTTCCTCGGAAAAACGAGAACACTCCCCATGAAAAAAATATGAAAACAATATGACTTTGAAATTACACACATTTAGAAATGTGTTCAACTTATATGGTAGCAGCTGACAGTCAAAAGCAACCGTTTGAGTGAGAATACTCCGTTCTCCTTGTTTGTCAACAATAATATGGTCGGGGTAGAGAACTTACATCTTAAATGTTAAACGTGTAAAAAAAAATGACAGAACGGGCCACGCTCTTCTCAAAACGATTATTTGCTATAATGTCACATTAGTGGTAAATTCTGACCAAAAAAAAAAAACAGTCCAGTGCAAAGCTTGTCATGTCAATCTCGACTGTAATGTATGATGGAATAAAACAAAGCATTGTTCATACAGTAGTTTGTCATGCATGCTTACATGTTGTTTTACCGTTTTACACTCATTCATCATCCGATCTTAAATCAGCGTAATGTGTGGTTGACAGTAAATATATATCAAGTGTTTGAAGTTCCAAGAAAAGGCCTTTGCTCTTTGAGACAAAAAATAATTTGTTACACTAATTATACGACAATTACTTCCATCCATCCATTATCTGCTGTACTTATCATCACGAGGGTCGCGGCGTGTTCGAGCCTATTCCAGCTGTCTTCGGGCAGTATGCAGGGTACACCTTGAATAAGTTGCCAGCCAATCGCAGGGCACACATACATGAACAACCATTCGCGCCCACAATCACACATGGACACCTTGTCGTTGGGACAGTTTGGAGTCTTCCATTAACTTGTTTTTGTTTTTGGAACGTGGGAAGAAACCAGAGTGCCCGGAGAATAGCCAAGCAGGAACAGGGAGAACATGCAAACTCCACACAAGAAGGCCAGAGCCGGAATTGAAGCATGTACCACTCCACTGTGAGGTGGGTGTGCTAACCAATCGATCAACCTGCCGCTCAAGATCATTATTTATTATTAATATTATTATTATTATTAGTATTATGCAAGATATACAATGCATATAAGGACAGGTAGACTAATTGTACAAAATGGAAAAAAAGACATGCAGAAAGAAAAACAACACAACAATCCCACATACTTGTACACGTTCGAAAGGGGTGGGAAGTGCAACTTTCTATTTTTTCATATCCATTGAAAAGCAAATTATGAGTGCTTCGCAAAATCACATTTTGAAGGCGGATCAGGCCCGCCCTCTATCGGCTCTCTTCAACTGCTACATGTCTTTAAATTAGTTCCAACACTACTGTCCTCTACTGTACTGTACTTGGAACATACCGCAAATGGATTCGAGTGAGCGTGATGTCACTTGAACAATACAATACTAGGAAATGCTGACTCTGCAGTGATGTCTGTATTCTGACCCTGAGTCATTTTTGTTGCCAACTTTATTTTTTGACATTTGATAAACGAATGATTAGTGTGTGCGCGTGTATGTGCGTGTGCGTGCATATGCGTGTGCGTGTATATGTGTGTGTGTGTGTGTGTGTGTGTGTGTGTGTGTGTGTGTGTGTGTGTGTGTGTGTGTGTGTGTGTGTGTGTTTATGCGCGCGACACTTGAACGGAATAGAATACCCGCTGGACGAACAAAATGGGAAACATGTGCCATAACCTAAAACATCGGCTCTGCAATTTCCCAAATCCCCAAATGTTTGAGCAACAATCCGTTCGATTGGCTAGTCCAGATTTCAGCTAACCAATTAACTTTTAGTTTGCTGTTACCAGGAAGCGTTGGACGGACGGACGCGTCGGAGGGAGTTAAAATTCAGCCATACAGTAGTGTATTTAGTTTTAGACTAAATTACTCGGCAAATTGACATGAACAAGGTACTATTGTGTAATCAAGACAGTACACTGGAAAGCACTGTAATGCTAATGTACAGCCGCCAGCGTTATGCAAGCCACAATTTGTACGTAAAGCTGAGCAGGTACAGCTAACAGTTTTAAAAACAGCTGCAACAACGTTCAATAGTGAAGCTGGATTTGTCCGACAAACCACCATCAAATGGCTACTACAGTCTTGGGAGTCGGCACAGGCGTTTTTGTCATCACTGCAGTTTGGATTGTGACTTTTGTGCTCTGGATGATGCTTCTGAGGGCATCCGGATCGTCCAAGTGAGTAATATATCAGAAGACGCAACACTCGTGCAAACCACAATAATTCCGTGTTTATAAACTTTTGAGCCTTACGTTATCTTGGATACTGATGGTTTTCAAATGAATCCCGTCCATACACTGTTCATTAAACAGCCTAACAAACACAAATGCATGATCTCTGATCTGATATTTCATGTTGTACATTCGTGACCAGGGTTCGTGACAAAACTGATCAAATTCACGCTTATAGGCGTGCGCGTTTTGTACATTTCTGGTGATGGTATTGTTCAAGAGTGATTATCAGTACGCCGTGTGCTATCGTAGCATAAAAGCGTCTGTTTGTTATTCAATGCCCCTCAAGTAGTTTCCGTGAAGGCAAAATTTGTGTCTCGGCGAATAGACTTAAAATTATTTGGGGTTTCCATAAAGGTCTGTTTCCTCAACCGGAATACAAACTAAAAGTAACGTTACAGCACGACTTACGTATGCACCACGATTCAATCGCCTTTATGTTAAGGTCTGTCTCTATTTTGTAGCGAGTAAACTAGTTGTGGTGCTTCGTGCAGCGACCGGTAGCCCGGAACGATTTTTAATTCTATAACGTTAGTTGCTGTTTGTTTAATAACGACACAAGACGTGATGGCGTTTGACAGATGCTTTAGTAGCATGAACGGCAACTGACAATAACAGTCGCGAGCGCACCTTGCCTCTTAGGTTATACCATCTCAACTAGAACGGGGGGGAGATAGTCCCCAAACAGTTTCTGTCACTAGATTAGACCAATATTTTATCCTTACCACCGATTGTTTAGGGACTTTATTATTTGACATAGAGTGGCTAAGAGTTGTTGTTGAACAGTTTAACGTTGCGGTTTTTATTTTTCTATGTTAGTTTTGTTTATCGCTGGGAACCTTTCAACAACTGGGGCTGGGAGATTGTGTCAATATCATAATCACTTAAGAACTCATCGATTATACATATTTAGGTTCCTAGATTACTGGTTCGTTAGAAAATTAGTTTTTCAAACTGAGCAAAAATGGAAAGTTCATCCTCCCTGGTAGGTCAAGGCGTTTTCATCATTGCTGCTGTTTTAATAGTGGCTCTCCTGCTTGGGTTGACAATCCAAAGAGCAACAGGATCGCTGATGTAAGAGCACTAACACACAGACACCACATACAATACACACCAGCCTGAATGCAAGGAAGACGACTTCTCGCTAAAAGATAAGGAAAACTACAATTTTAAAGTAGTGTTTTACAAGCCTATGTGCCCTTTTATTTCATTATTGTTTGGCATTGTTAAAAAATATGACCAAAACCAACAATGAGGCCTTCATCTTCCACAAACGACATTACATGATCCATAAAACTGCTGAGACACGATATACAAACACACTCTTCACTAGCCACACTCTTAACCTAAAGTGCACACCGGCTGAGGTATGCTCAACTGGTATAAACAAGCAGTCCACGAGTAACTAAAACAATTAGCCCTTTTAATGTGTTTTCTACTGATGGTAAAATGGTTTGACTTTGTTTTAGTCTACCCATCAACCATTCAAAGGCTTTAATCATTCTGTCATCGAACTCACACAGCTACTCTTCCAGTTTGCCAAAGTTAGCTAAAAGTGATGGTCATAACCCTATCCCTGATTAAGGTTCATTATACTTGGTGAACTATGCACGATGCAGTATACAGTATTAGGCAGCTATGAATTACGCCCTAGAATCACTTTAAACGACATTCAAGTTGAAGCTACTTGAAGGGATGTTAAGTTAGAGTAGAAAGCGGAAATTTATATTAGTTTCACTGTTGAGAAACCCTTTGCTACACACTGTATATTTATGTAATACCAAGTATAATGTCATTTCTTTTTGGGTATTTATCAAAGTCAAAGTCAGATTGCTCCAAATTTGCTATTTGCATGGTTTAAAAAAAACAACAACATCAAAGTCAAAATCAGATTAAGAGCCAAAATGTACAATTAGCTATTTTCATAGTTTTAAAAACACAACAGTCGTGATACTGCCCTTAATGTATATTTGTGATTTTTTTTTTCCCCAGGCTCGGAGTGATCCCGTTTTTCCTGTTGGCGCTCATCATTACCCTGGCACTCGTGTTTTTCCCTCGAAGCGCAACAACCCCATCTTCTTTCAAAGAGAGAGAGGTGAAGGCTTCCACTGATTTGAAACAAACTTCCATTTACACATGCCATCTAAATCACATTTACTCTGCACAGAAAATGTTGGCATTTGGAATAAACTCAGTAAAATAACAAATTAGTTGTAGTGTACCGTTTTATAACTCCAGAGCTGATTAAAAGTGATATTCTTAGAGTTGATCACAAATATCTTTCTCAGAGTTGAATTTTTACTTTTCAGGTTGTAATCTGAGTTTAACATTTAAAAGTATCAAATTCATTCAGAGTTAACCCATCCATTCCGAATCTGAACTGCTTTATCCTCACAAGTGTGCTGGAGGCTATTCCAGCTGTCTTTGGGAGGTAGGTTGGGTACACCCTGAACGGGTTGCTCAGAGAAAACCCACACAGGCACGGGAAGAACTTGCAAACTCCACACAAGAAGGCCGGGACCTGGAATCGAACCCATGACAAAAGTTTTGTCCAATATGACTTGAAAAAGTGGAAGCGTGCTTTAAAAGACCCTGTGGCCAGAAGATACAGCTGAGTGTCTTTTGGCGGTAAAAGTGTGATGAGGTTCATGAGTGCTGATGCACTGACTCACTCATCTGGAATTGGATATGAAAATGTAAACCCAAAATAGAAAAATAGCTAATATTTCAATTTTTGACTTTAATTGAAATAGGTTACACTCATGGCCAAAATTGAATTTGTGAACATTTGTTTTCAAAACAGTGTCACGGTGGACAACTAGTTAGCGCGTCTGCCTCACAGTGCAGAGGCCATGCGTTTGAATCCGGCCCCGGCCTACCTGTGTGGAGTTTGCATTAATCTCCCCGTGCCTATGTGGGTTTTCTACAGGTACTCCGGTTTCCTCCCACATTCCAAAAAGGGTTCACCTCTTTGTGAGCAACTACATGAGAAAATAGGCAAACCATTTAAGAGCAATGTTCCTCATTGTACAAAAGCAAGGCACTTAGGGATTTCCTCATCTAGGGTCAATCACATTATGTAAAGTTTAAGAGAATCTGGAGAAATCACCGCATGAAAGCGGCAAGGCTGAAAACCACCATTGAATGTCCAAGACCTTCAAACCCTCAGGCAGTGAAAAACCTCCATCAATGTGTAAGGGAGATAATCACATCGGCTCAAGAAAATTTCAGGAAACCAATGTCAGTAAATACAGTTCGACATTACATCTCATAAGTGCAACTTAAAACTGCTATGCAAAGCAAAAGACATTTATGAACAACACCCAGAAACACTGCTGGCTTCTCTGGGCCTGAGCTCATCTGCGATGGACTGATGCAAGGTGAAAAAGTGTTCTGTGGTCCACATTTCAAATTATCATTCTCTGAACTGCTTTATCATCACGAGGGTCATGGGCATGCTGCAGCCTACCCCAGCTGACTCAGTCATTAGGGTCCACCCTGAAGTGGTTGCCAGCCAATCACAAGGCACACAGATAAACAACAACCATTCACACTCACAATCACACCTAGGGATAATTCAGAGCCATAAATAAACCCACCGTGAATGTTTTTGGAATGTAGGAGGAAACAGGAGTACCCGGAGAAATCCCATGCAGGCTCGGGGAGAACATGCAAACAGGAAGGTTGTAGTCCGGAATCAAACTCATGACCTCTGCCCTGCAAGCTGGAAATGCGAACCAGTCAACCACCCCGCTGCCCAACATTTGAAATTGTTTTTGCAAATTGCGGACGTCATGTCCTCCGGGTCAAAGAGGAAAAGAACCATCCGGACTGTTATGGACAAAAATACAATACATCTTTATTTATATCGTGCTTTCACAACAGCTGCAGCTGTAACAAAGCGCAGAACAGGTAACATAAAATAACAAAACGTAGCGGAACACATAACACAAAACATGGGCAGTCATACAAGCGTAACAACTATTCCTGCATATGCCATGTTGTTTGAACCAGTTATAGAAGAAAGGAGAGAGTAAAAGTCTCCTTTCAGTTCCGAATAAAGCATAAAGTGGACATTTATGGTGGAAGTAAAGCTTATGATACGCAGACGGTGTGTCAATAAACGATCTGTGACCCATGTGCAATGTGAGGCGCACAGGCGTTCGACGGTTGGCCATCTGTGATTGCTAACAATGGCAACCACACTAAATCAAAATATGTATATTGATGCCAACACAATCTGTGGTGCGCATTTGTAAAAAAAAAAAAAAAAAGATAAAATACAAACGTACCCACAGAATCTACAGTGTGCCCTCACATCTAATATACTTTCATAACCTTTCATTAAATACTCAACTCTACCCTCTTTCATCACTAGTCAACATTCCATGTGGGTCACTGAGGAGGATACACTTTCAGTCATGGACCTTATGAATGAGACAAAGCGCCGGTCTTGCATGAGTTATGCATCCGGTTGATGTTTCAAAGCGCTGCTTATGTGCATGCACCCAGGTGTAACCTGTAAAGCCACGTTCATGCCAAGTCACGGAATTTGTTGTTGCAGCTTATCTCCCCCAGAATGAATGCAAGTGGTGCCATTCAGCGTAGCCTGATCACCTGTCAGTCAAACATACACCTGACATTCGGATCCTGATGACTGATTTCACATTCACACAGATTGAACAGAGATCAGAAGCACAAATAATATTGAAAGCATGGTAGATACACGACCTGTACCAAAACCGAATGTCAGCTCTAATAGAAGTGTTTACTTTTGGATTTCTACATTTGCATTTGTATACTCTTTTTACAAGCTTGCCACTAAGGCCTGCTATGCTTTATCTTTGTCCAACAGTAACACAGAACAAACACTCCCCCATGTAGCCTCTGGGTCGTGCCAGTAAACCAGTCAAATCTGCCAAGCAAGCTGCTACCTACAAAAAAAAAAAAAAAAAAAAAGCAGAGCAGAGCCCCCCTGTCCTGGCCTGCTCACATTTGGTAGCTTTTTGTGAAAATTGATACTGCCATGGAAGAGAGCAGCAGCACATCCGGGTTTTCTGCACTAGGTCTTTCTGCTAAAATCGATCCAATGATTGATGACGGCTTGTGGAATAATGATATTACTATGAAGTCAGAAAATCATTATTAAGTCCTCACAGCTGTTTGGCAAGGCAAGTTTATTTCAATAGGCACGTTTCAGGTACAAAGGCATTAACAGCATGACGGAAACAGAAACAAAATATTAAGTCTTAACATCATAAACAATTATAGTAAATTATTAAACCCAAGCATCAGTCTGGATTAAAAAAAAAGATGTGCAAGTGGGGATTAAAAGAAAGGAATAAAGGATAGATTCATCCATCCAGCCATCCATTTTCTACATTTTCTGCCGTCCTCGGGCAGTAAGCAGGGGACACCCTGAACTGGTTGCCAGCCAATCACAGGGCACACATAGATGAGCAACCATCGGCGCTCACACTCACACCTAGGGACAAGTTTAGAGTGTTCAGTCAGCCTGTCATGCATGTTTTTGGAATGTGGGAGGAAACCGGAGTACCCGGAGAAAACCCACGCAGGCACCGGGAGAACATGCAAACTCCACACAGGAAGGCCGGAGCCGGAATCAAACCCTGCACTTCTGCACTGTGAGGTCAAAGCGTGAACCACTGGACCACCCGGCCGCTTAGGATAGATTAATCTTGCAGTAAATCATAATATTCTAAGCTCTGATTCAAATGAACTTACAGTTTGAGGAAACCCCAGGTATTTGAAGAGTTTTTTTCCACAGGTGAGGAGTATCGTGACTAAATGCTGCTTCACTTTGTTTGGATCTGGTTCTGGGAAAACACAAGCAACCTGTCCCAGATGTCATGAGGGCTCTGGCTGCTTCATAGGGCACTAATACATCTTGCATGTATTTTAGTGTAGGCGGATTGGTGGTTAGCGTGTTGGACTCACAGGGCAGAGAGAGGTGCAGGGTTCGATTCCGGCTCCGGCCTTCCTATGTGGAGTTTGCATGTTCTCCCGGTGCTTGCGTGGGTTTCCTCCGGGTATTCCAGTTTCCTCCCACATTCCAAAACCATGCACGGCAGGTTAATGGAACACTCTAAACTGTCCCTCGTGTGATTGTGAATGGTTGTTTGTCTATGTGTGCCCTGCAATTGGCTGGCAACCAGTTCAGGGCGTACCCCGCCGACCTCCCGAAGACAGCTGGGCTGATAGGCTCTAGCACACCCGCAACCCTTGTGAGGATAAAGCGAATTTGAAAATGGAAGAATGGATGTATTTTGGTCCAAGACCATTTCAAGTTTTTTAGACCCACAGCAAGATTTTAATATCTATTTTTTGACTAATTGGAAGCCAGTGCAGTGATCTGAAATCAGGTGTGATGTGGTCCAGTTTAATGGTGTTTGGAAGGAGTCTGGCAGCAGCATTTTGGAGCAACTGCAGCTGCATGATTAATGTTTTTAATAAGATCTGTCAAGACACCATTGCGGTGATTTAGCCTCCTGAAAATAAAAGTATGAACACGTTTTTCTGTGTCTGTTGAGACAGAAAAGCCCTTAACTCAAGCTATATTTTTCCGGTGTTAATAGGCAGATTTAGTAGTGATTGTGAAAATTCAGGTCTTGGTCAATAATTCCACCAAGATTTCTGGCTTGATTTGTAGCTTTGAAGGACACGGAGTTATGGTGAGCGCTGAGCTTGGATGCTATAAATCAAATTAATCATTAATATTAATGTACAGTTATCATTTAAATAAAAATGTTACATTATAAAGATTTCATCATTGCTGAAAAAGCCATAAAGCATTTTAAAAAATAAATCACAAATTTCACCCATATGTTATTTAAGTATTTTTTACAAACCCTATTCCAATGAAGTCCGGATGTTATGTTAAAGATAAATACAAACAGAATGCAATGATTTGCAAATCATGTTAAACCTATTTTTAATTGAATACACAACAAAGACAAGATATTAAAATTTATTGTTTTTAGCAAAGCATCATTAAATTTGAATTTTTGACTGCAAAACATTCAACAAAAAAAGCTGTGACAGGTGGCAAAAAGAAGGAATGTTCAACAGCGACCTGTTTGGAACATCCCATGGGTAAACAGGCTAACGGAACAGCTGGGTGCCATGATTGGGCATAAAATGAGCTTCCCTGATTCACAAGCAAAGATTAGGCAATGTTCACATTTTTGCGGACAACTGCATGAGAAAATAGTCGCAACAGTTTAAGGACGATGATTGTCAACATACAAATGCATTTCATCATCTACGGTCCATAATATCAGCAGGTTCAGAAAATCTGGAGAAAGCACTGCATGTAAGCGTCAAGGCCAAAAACCAACATTGAATGTCTGTAACCTTCGACCCCACAGGTGTCACTGCATCAATAACCGACATCAACATGTAAAGGATATTATCACACTTAAGAAAGCCAATGTCAATCAATACAGTTTGGCGCTACATCCAAAACTGCAATTTAAAACGCTACTATGCAATGCAAGAGGCTCTGCTAGTGCCAATGGGATGGGGAACTTACACATCTGTGAAGGCAGCATTGATGCTGAAAGGTACACACGGGTGTTGGAGAAATATATGCTGCCATCCAAGCAACGTCTTTTTCTTGAACGTTCCTGGTTTTTTTTTTCAGCAAGACAATGCCAAACAACATTGTGCATGTGTCACAACGGTGTGGCTTCATAGTCAAAGAGTGCAGGAACTAGACAGACCTGCCTGCAGTCCAGACCTGTTACCCATAGAAAAGGTGTGGTGCATTATGAAACATAAAATACAACAGCGAAGACCACAGACTCTTGAACAGCTGAAGCTGTACATCAAGCAAGAATGGGGAAGAATTCCACCTGCAACTTGCTGGATATTGCTAGGTTAAAAAAAGAGAAGTGTTAAATGCATCCATAAGACCCTACATACATTTACCCCACCTTTTCCTTTCTCATTTGTTAAACGCACATTCACACATTCTGTCATTCCACCACCTAACCTGTAAATTATCTCCCAAATCATCTGTAGGGCTTCCTGCTCTTGTGTCTTACGGATACACGGTCATGTTCATAAATATTGGGACACCACTACAATGAATATGAAATGAGACAAACAAAATGTGCTTTTACCCCAGACTTTTATCTTTAATTTGAAGGTATTTAAATACAAATCAGGTGAATGGTGTAATAAATATAACAATTTGTATGCAGTATATGCATTGTATTTCTTAAGAAACCAAAAGTAATTGGGCAAATGAACAACCAGAAATCAAAGTTTGACTTTTTAATACTTGGTTGCAAATCCTTTTCAGTCATTTAAACCTCTAGTACGACTGCCTTCAGTTACTGCTTGTTCTTTGGACATTCACCCTCATCTTAAGCAAATTAAATGTGCACTCAGAGCAGAAATCTATTATTATATAAGTGCTATTATTTTTATTTACATTGTACATTTTAATGAAATATTTAGCAAAAAGGAATCCCTGTCAGGTATTTGACAGGTTGGTAGTTATTGCTACTTAGTGACCTCATAACAACTATTTGCATCCCAATTTTTCTTTCGTTTTTGTGAAAGCCCAAATGTCTACCCTGCAGGATTGTTTCTGGTTCTGTTTAGTGAAAGCTCTCTACTGACATCTAGCGGCAAAATGTGTGAAAATCTGAAATTAGAAGTACAGTACCACGACTGTACCTCAATTTTTTTATTGAATTGTTGGCTTCTCTCTCAACTACATACAATATTTTGGAAAAACTCTTAAGAACTGACAACACTAAGCAAATTCTTTGTTCTTTTTTCCCTCCTCCACAGATAGTGGACACTTTATTTATCGCTCGCTATGTGCTGCTGGCTATAGTGAGTGTGAGCTTTCTCGGCGGGCTGTTCATGTTGCTCCCCTTTCATTTCTTGGAGCCTGTCTATGCTAAAGCTTTCAGAACACACTAGAAGGAGTTGGCACTGGATCACATTGCCGATGTCAACAACCCAAAATAAAAGAAACCAGCAAGAGGCCCACTTCTTCTTCTTCTTCACAGACTGTGGAACCAAAACAACAGGAGAAACTTTCCCATGGCCAATGTCTTATAGATTGTTTATCCATCGCGGTCCAAGTTGAGTCTCTAAATACTTTCCTGTTGAGTGCATCTAGAGCATCACTAATAGGTGAATGCAAATTGAGACACTGTTTTGTGAAATGTTTTGTTTGCCTAATGTTTTACTTAATTCATGTGTTTTCAGTTTTAAGATGTCATGTTTTCTTACCATTTTAACCGCCATTGAATGCCCCGTCTGTAATTTATTTAAACTCCCATGTGAAACTACTGGTGATTTTTTTTTTTTTTTTTTACTGAGCTGTTTGTCCTTTTATTTGACTTCAAATTCAACATTAAAAGGAAACAAAATTCACAATAACAGCTTTTTGTCTTTGTTAAGACCAAACAGCATAATGACAGGCAACCTGCCAGCGACGAAGGGACATAATGCAGTGTTTCTAGTTGTCTCACAAAACAACTTTTTTTTTTCTTAACACTTATTCAGGGTAACAATAGTTCATTACCCCGCTAATTTTTGCACCTCGCATGAATGTCTTGGCTCACTCAAGTTAATTTACGCAGAGGCTTAATTGTTAGGACAGTACACTTCAGAAATATCCAAATTGATGCATATTATACATGGATAGAGAGAGAGAAAATGTTGACTTAATTTTTTAAAATATTGTATACCCAGTGACATTATGAGGGTGGGGGCGGGGGATTACATTTAGCCTGCATTTTCATCAATGCGTTCACATATTTCAACATGCAAATACGGTCGAATGAGTCAGTTTTGTCTGCTCCACGATTCCATACATCTGTTTGTGGTGTTTAATCATACTTTTTGACAACGAGGGAACCTTTCAAGTAAGTGAAGTCACAAAAATCAAATTGAATTTTTTTTTTCCAGAGCTCCCCCACCCCCACACATATCGGCCAATGCGCATGACTTCAGAGGTAACAGTGAGTCCCTGCTTTCCCAGAGCTGTATACTGTATTAGCCTCTGAAAAGAATAAATGTTGAACACGTACATTGTTCTTGACTCTTAAAACAATATTGATTGTAAATGTTGATATATATGATACTTGGGGTAAAAATGTTCACGAGCACATGCACCACATCTAGAAAAACTCAATGTGATGTTCGGCTACTGTGCGGTAACTGATTTCAGGTATGAATGAGCAAATGGCTCCAAGGGCTTTTTGCAATAGTTTAATTAAACACTTGTTCTCTTCTTGTTTTAAAAAGTATGAAGCCTGAGGGGATGTGGAGTGGAATTCCAACCAGGGTAATAAAATGGAATCGAATGAATCAAAACCAATCCTATTAGTTCCGCCCCACATCTCTGTACTGTGTTCCTTTTGCTGCCTGCATAACAATACAGACCCACAAGCTGGGAAACTGGGGAGTTTCAATTGGGTGGGATCTGGAACTTTTTGACTTGGATAGACTTTTTGGCTTTAATTGGCCGCCTGATTACCAGAAAATATCATCTGAGTCCTTTGCATAAGGAGGTACTGAAAAACCAGCTATGGTGCAATGGTGCGCTAACAGTAGAAGGAAATATTCCACTTGGAATATTGTCCATAGTAGGCTATGTTTTGCTGAATAAAACGACCCATTCAGACATTAAGATTCCTTATGAATTTCAGGATTTCAATCCAGAAAATGTGTATGGTTTGAAAATGTAATCGCTGAAAACTCAATTTAGAATATCCAATAGTTTTCCTTTTCTGACATTTTTGCTCCCACACAATTTTTCACACTAAATCACCTCTGTAATTCGCCCCCCACCCCCCCACACACACAAACACTTTTTTTCCCTTGCTTTCCTCATTTTAATTTTTTGTAGCTAAACTCAGTGTTTGGGGAGTGGGAAAATGAGCAGAACAAAGCAAGTGGGGGTTTGAGGGATCATTTGAAATCTTTGTGGCACAGCCAGCTGGACATATAAAGAGACGGGGGGGAGAGACCGGAGAAAGAGAGAGCAATGCAAGGGTAAAGAGGTGTGAGCCGAAAGCTCCGAGTGTGAAGTTGTGAAACTGCAAAGGGGATGTGGTGAACCTCCTCTTCAGTAGATGCATGCATTCAAATGCACTCAAGCAGAACTTCTAGTTTGCTCTTCTCAGTCTCAACCTTTTTGCCCTCCGATTGTGATATGCAAGCCACCAACTCCCCGCCAAGCTTTCAGCCCACAAAAAAATTCATTAATGTTTGGGAGTCACCAAAGTTGGTGCACTTATCCCAGAAGAATGAGCCTCAGTTCATGTTAAATCATCCAGATAGCAATGTTAACCACATCTCCCTGAAAGTGTGGTCAAAACTGCTTTTTATTAACTCTCTGAGGTGAAATGAGCTATTATTAAATGCAAATATTTATTTACTAAGGACCTATAAGCTATTTGGCATAACCGGTGACACCAAAGTTTACCATTTGGGCATTTCCACCAAGTTTAAAGCCACCACTAGAAAAAAGATCATCTTTTCTGTGCACCCTGCTCTCGTTTGTGTATTTCCTCTCTGTCCTTGAGTAGCCGTAGGCTTTTGATATCTTTCTCTTCTACGGAATAACCCCTTGGCTCTCCTGTGGAGCAATTGAATGACCGGATTAGCGGTCAGGTTGCTCACCTCCAGCCTGCTGCTGCTAGAACATGGCACCCTATTGTAGGATGAAGAAATCTTTATCACTGGGGTGATGGTTCAGTTTAACAGTGTTGAAGAAAATTATTTAATACTGTGAAAGCTTTGTGAAAGCCACTGGCGATAAGGATAAAAGAATAGAAATGGCATGGGTGGTCTGAGCAGCCTCTGGAGCTTGCTCTTTTTTTGCAAAAGATTCGTTGATCATCCTTTCACATTGAACTGCTCCTCTCCACCGTGGCCAAAGAACCAAATAACCAAACACTCAAACTCTGATTTCCAGCTTCTCAAATATGAATACTTGGATTTCCTTGCTCCTCAATGAAAGCATACAAATTGTCCTTGTGCTTTAAACCAAGACACTCATGTACATCAGCTTGGATTTCGAATAACGGTTCAACATTTTTGTCAATTTTCTGACATTAATGTCGACTCCTGTAACATTGTGTTGCCCAAACAGTTTGTCGTCCAAAGTCTGATTAAAGATCTTTTCACACTGTAGACACAGCAAGCCATGAACTAACCCCTCATTGTTTACATGTCTGAGTTTTTGAAAAACTAAAACAAAGTTTCTCAGTTGGAAAATTAAATATCTTGTCCCGATTGAGTATTTAATACCTCACACTATGTTCAGTAGTTTAAGTGTACAATCAGATCTTGCCCACAAATGATGGGGCTGACATGCATAAACGCCCCACTATACAATTCGATATTTCTGTTTTTGTCACCGTCAAGGTTTTTGAAAAACACATGACAATTGTGTTGTTTACCTGGATTTAAAATTGCGTTTCATTATGATAAATTGTGATAAATTGCCAGCTGGTTGTCTAAAAATAGAACAGAACTGCCCTGAACAACCATTGAAAACTGCAGAAGCCTTTGGCTTTACCTTTAACAGTTTTTGTATCTTTCATTTGCTACTTGTTTACCGAAAAGTAAGGACAAGACAGAGACATACTGTATAATCTTTGTACTCTAAAATGTTTTTAAAATGAAACCCCTTCATCCTCACATGGTTGAATTAGTTACGTTTGTTTTGCTTCTTATGTGTGCAACATGATGTATGGGCGTCATGCTGTGTGGACTGGCAGCTACAAATTTGCTTAGCAAATTGACTAGCAGGAGGTTGGCTTTAGTGCAGGATGGCTTTTACAATAACTGTTATATGAAAATATTGTGTTTAAATGTGTTAGACTCCATAAATGGTCACATTTGCCTCACATTTGCCTCACAAAAGAAATAATTGGGATCATTCTATTTAAATTCAAGAATGTTGAAATCATATTTTGGGTCATGTAAAACCCAGCGCATTTGATCCATTCGAATTTGTTTTCATTGAAATATAACAGACAGCCCACTCCGTGGCCCCCCACCCCCATTTTTTGTAGCTTCTTTGACTCCCCTTCTCCCCCAGTTTCAGACTTATCCCATGCAGATTGAATGGCATACATTTGTGACAAGACACTACCCCTTGGTCCCCTTTCCCTCTCTATTTACTCAGATGGAATCTCTTTTTCAGTTGGGGGGGGGGATCTGGTTTTCTTCAAACTTCTCCCTCCTCTTTTCCATCTCCCCAGGAAAAAAGGACCCAATAAGGGGGGGCGAATGCGACTAAAGAGGAACCAAATTAAAGAGAGTGAGATAAAGGGTCCTCGGGTATGTTGATGGATGATCATGTTCCACGGATTTGGGTTGGAATTTTAATGAGTTAGTAATTGACTCTACATGGGTGTCACAGTAGAACCAATGTAGATTTGGTGACTTGGACCCAGGAAGCGAAGTCAGGACTTTGAGACTCAAGATGAATGTCAGTGCATGGCTACTCTATGTGTCATTGCTCTATACTTGGGCTGAGTACTCTCAGAGGTGCAAATGTCAAGATCTCTGTCCAACAGAACTGGAGAATAAGAAGTCCAAGACTCGCATAAAGGTGCATTTTCGCAATTCTCTCGGACATAAGCACGCATCTTCCAGAAGCAGGCCACAACACAGAAAAGGTGAGCTTTTCAAAATTTCAGTCATATTCGCCTCACCGTTTTGACCAGAACATTGATTGTGTCATAATTGGTCAGAACTTGAATAATGTCGGGTGCATGTTGTGTTAAGGGTTCCTTCGTCATTTGTAAAACTCCCACAGAATTGAGAGGATTCGGCGCTCCTCCTCAACTTTTGTCGATCAACCTTGAATGGTCTTAATGGCAGAAAACAGTTTTTGTGAAATAATTTTAATAACGAATATGAAAAATAATTTGCACATTGGAAATGTGTATAAAAATATTCAGACACCGTTAGAGATTTTGTTTTAGCAATGCCATGAAGATCAAATACAACTGGAAGGCCACCAGAGAGTAAAATATAACTATCAGTAGAAAATCATTCATAGAATTTTGTATTTGATATTCTGTGTCCATTTGAATGTTAGTTGGCTATTTCCTTGTGAATGGATGATGAAGAACAGACGAGGCGGCATAATGATTCTCGGGTTTGCACATTTCTACTACAATGACTCACATGGTCAAGTTATAACAACAAATAAATGAATAAAAAGAAATCGCTCTCGTCCAGATCAACACCCGACGGGTTTGAAACATCATTGGTTGTCGAGTGGTTGTTCCCGAATGCACCGTTATCAGAACAAAACTAGTGTTGACCTACGACTTTTGCACTGCAGGCTTCTGTTTATTTTACAGGGGAAAGGACTTCACTCGCTGTGTGCTTTTGTTTCGTTTTTAACCCTTTCATGCACTCTGTAACCTGATAGCATGATAAGCTGTCCACTGTAGTAACTGCTGTCCTTGAAAGTGTTAAAATATACTTCAATGGAGTTGCTAGTCTCCTTTTATCACATCCCTTTTTCCCACATGGCTGTGACCAATTTGCTCCTTTGATTCTCTATCCCTCCATCCTTCCCCATTCTAATGCTTGTTCTGACCTTTAGTCTACATTGTGAGCGAGGTTCCTTCCTTCAGACCTGTCTTGGTCCCGTGGATTATATTGAGCTGCAACAAAAGATTTGGAGAGTTTGAAGGTCTCATTGTTTATCCTCTCCAAACCTTTTGTTGCAGCCTGAAAGATGGCTGATGTCTGGGCCATCAAGCCCAAGTTGTTGGATCAATATAAACATCAGTCACTTGCTCCAAGATCTTTTGGGTGCTCACAAGGAACAGTTCACAAAAGAACCATTTCTTTATGACTACCCTTGGAAAAAAACCGAGCTTCCGGTAGTTCATCTATTTCTGGGTCATTCTGTTTGAGATTACAGTGGGCCGATGAAACTGTTCAAGTCCGACCTCATGCAGAATATTCATTAGCCATTTGCGGTTGGACTACGCACACATAAGGGTGGAGCGGGCTACTTGAAAAGAGAAATGTGGAAGTACGTATGCAAAGCTGTGCCCATCTGTTTAAGGTGCAACTGAGAGCGAAAAAATGATTTTTGATATGAGTTGAAAGCATAGGGAACGAGTGCCATAAATACAGCCATTTCTGCAGTGGGGTCCCCGTCTTTCTGTTTTTTGTTTGGCGTCCAACTCCCACCATTGCTGGCAATGGATGACAGGACAACAACTCCAGCCTTGGAGCGACATCTCCCCTTGGACGTATATACAGTATAATCCCTTGTGTTTCCCCAACATGTGATAAACTGGTTTCCAAAGGCTGCACTGCCGCTTGGTTATGCTTGAATATTCCTCGTGGGAACGTGAAAGTCTGAGAGAGGTTCTGGGCTTCTACTGTGGAACCAACTGCATTCTGCATTGATTGGGGTTAAACAAAGGTAAGTAAAAGTTAGCTGCCATGGCATCTCAGACACAGGTCCCGCAAGCTATTATAAACGTTGCTTCAATACAACCACTGCAACCAACAAAACGCGTTTGGATCTCCTATCCATCCATCCATCCATCCAACCATCCATCCATCCATCCATCCATCCATCCATCCATCCATCCATCCATTTTCTGGACCACTTTATCCTCACAAGGGTTGCGGGGCATGCTGAAACCTTTCCCAGCTGTCTTCAGGCAGTGGGCGGGGAACACCCTGAACTGGTCGCCAGCCAATCGCAGGGCACACATAGACAACCATCCGCACTCACACTCACACCTAGGGACAATTTAGAGCGTTCCATTAACCTGTCACACATGTTTTTGGAATGTGGGAGGAAACGAGAATCCCGAGAGAAAACCCAAGCAGGCATGGGGAGAACATGCAAACTCCACACAGGAAGGCCGGAGCCAGAATCGAACTCTGCACCTCCGCACTGTGAGGCTGACGCGCTAACCAGTCGACCATCGTTTGGATCTGTATAAACCAGATTTTATCTTTTCATCTGGCAACCACAGGTACCCTTTAAGCACAGAAGCCAGACTTAACTCTCCCTAGCCTTTTCATCCAGATCTTCTGGGAGGATCCCTTGGTGTTGCCAGACCAACTGGGAGGCGTAGTTTCACCAGTGAGTGTTGGGTCTTCCAGGTGGGACATGACTGGAACACGTCATCATGAGAGCGTCTACGACCTATCCTAACCAGATGCCCGCCCATGTCATTTGACTCCTCACAATGCAAAGGATCAGTCACTGTCCTCAGAGCCCATCCAGAATGATGGAGCGTCTCACTTAGTCCCTAAGGGAGAAAGATTCTGAAAAGGAAGCTACTTTCTGCTACAGAACGGTGTTCGACCAAAATCCGTTTCAGAAGGCTGTTTGAAAAGCAATTTGTTCGAAATCCAAAACTATTTTATTAGCCCATGATTAGGGGCTAATAAACTATGCAGAAGAAAGAAAAAACAGTGAGATTTTCGTAAATCAAAACAAACACGTCTGCTCACAAAGAACGTTACACGAGGAAGCATCACTTGCGTGTAAGGAAGCCGAGAGTAGTCGGGTGGTGTATTTGGGTTTGCTCAGTTTGGTCGAAAACCGGTTTTCTGACGTAACCCGAGGTGTAAAAATCTCAAATTTTCTGGTTGAAATCCAAGGTCTGACTGTACTTGTATGCATAATCTTCCTCCTGTGGCCAGCTTGTGGTTCATAGCTGGTCGTGTGAATTAGTAAATTGAGGGTTTGCCTTTTTGCTCAGTTCCATCTTCACCGCAACAGACTGCTGCAGAGTTTGCATTTTGAAAGACACTTCACCGATACTTAATGAATGCCTCTGTCATACATTCTCTTTATACTTGTAAAATAGTGTGTTACTCATGAAATCCATGCAGTCCATCCATGGTTCAGAAAATGTAATTTTATTTATTAAATGAAAACATTTTGAAGTCTTACTAAAAAAATAAATAAAATAAAAAATTGCAGAATTGAAGGTATCTTTCAAATGAATTAAAAAATGGATCTCAGAGCAAACTTCTAGACCCAGAGATGAAAGTCCTCCGGATTTTCCCGGAATTCCGGGTTTTTCAAATTTTTATGAAAATTTCTCCGGAGAATTTAGGAAAATAAAATAAATAATAAAATTAATCCGGATATTAGTTGACAACATTGAACGAAGACGCGTTTGAGTTCGTTGTATTGCTTTCACGAGCGGAGCCATATTGAGGCACTAACACTAGTAACGGTAAAGAGATTTTTGTTTGTGTAATAACGACAGAAGACATGATGGCGTTTGTCTAATGATTTGGTAGAACGAATGGCAACTTGCAACAACAGTAGCAAGCGTCATTTTGCCTCTTGGGTTATACCATCTCAACTAGAAGGTGGGGGGATAGTCCCCAAACAATTTTCGTCTCTTTATAAACACACCTGCTAAACCCCAGTGGAACGAATAAAAGACGCCGTCAACAAGACAGTTGTTGTAAAAAAATATATTTGGCCAAAAAGGGAAAAACACAGATTGGCAGAAAATCGTGTCCGTCGGACTTCGAGCGTCGTCTCGGCTAACTTAGCTTAGCTGTTGTCGTGTGTGACGTCATTTGCGTCGACGCTGATTGGTTGAAATCAAAAGACGCGCTTGCGTACATGTTCGCGCTGAAACACGCACAGCAGAGCGCAGCGGACTATCTACTGGTGAGGCTCACTTAGCTTGAGTGGCGTCGCCACAACAGTAATACACTTGCCTCGCACTCTCATGGCCTCGCCATATCTTGGAGATTTCGAAATTTCGGCCCGAACGGAAGCCACAAAGGGTACACGTGTGAACACAAAAGGAAGATTAATCATTGAATGTCGAGTATTTGAAGAGCGTTTTGTGTAAACTATTTATTCCGGAATTTTCAGAAAAGTCCACTTTCATCTCTGTAGACCTAAACTTCTAGTAAACAAAAATGCCGTGAGTCGTCATACTTTTGGCTTTCGGAGTGTGCAGCGGGGCCTTCACCTGAATTCAAAAATACAATGGAAATCAGTCTCTGTGATTTTCGGCACAATTTCAGTCTTGTTTTTAAAGTTTCAAGGAGAAGTGTTCTGGAATCTTGTCTCATCTAATCAAATAACATACACATCAATTATCAATTCATCCATCCATTTTATAATCAGTTTATCCTCACAAGGGTGGCAGGCATGCGAGAGCCTATCCAAGCTGTCTTCAAGCAATAGGTGGGGTACACCCTGAACTGGTTGCCAGCCAATCACAGGGCACACATAGACGGACAAACACATAAATCAGACACTTCTAATTTATTTTCCCAAGCCACGCAGAGCCACAAGATAAGGAGGAAAGAGCCTCACGTGGCGAGTTGCCGATCTCTGGGTTAGATGATAACAGATTTTTTTTTCTACAGTTATTATAAGTCCAAAGCACCCACGTCCCCTTATTTATTTTGGCTTTTATTTTGAAAATTTCCCCCGCTGCTGGTTGGCTCCGTGTTAGAGTAATGCAGAGTATCAACAAAAATAGACAATCTTTGTGAAGACTGGCTTGCCTTGGCCTGACAGCATCCATGTCCATCGCCAGAGGTGATGTCATGTTGCTCTTCGTGATAACCGCATTTCTTTTGCCAGGTAAGTTACTTATGTACTGCATATACGTTATATTTCTTGTAACATAGCTATCAATTTATGTTAAAGTATCGACATGGTTAATTTGTATGACGTGCGTTCGTAGTGTAAAAGAATAAGGCACTCAATAAGGGGAGAGAACATGTGCATTATATTCACAATAAGTTTAAAAATTAATTGATTATTCAGAATAGTTTAATGACTGGTAATGTGATATTCGTGTGCTTGTTGCTTGTGTGCTTGAGTATGCGTGTGTTATTGTGCGTGTTTGGAAGTCCACTTTAACTTGAATTAGACATGGCGAAAAATATTTTCGATTCACATAAATGTTCTTGTGCGTTTTAAATTACATCTATGTGTCATGAAAGGCTTACATTGATGATTTGTAAGTTTTTTTTTTCTACATTTTATGTGGAACTGCTGCGACAATGTGGGTAACGGGGTATTATCTGTCATTTGAGGCATTTCCGGTTCTAATGAATGAAGGACCCATTGAAGCAGAGCATATCTTCAGTCGGTTGTGCAATAGTTGTTGAATAATATTTGATCTGATTGGTTATGTATTTAAATTTCAGTTGGAGTAAAATGAGTTACCCTTGTCTTTGGATTACATGAATCAAGTAGTTTTAAATGTCTTTTATTGCAGAAATATTAGTGCACCAAATCAATTTAAAAACATCCCAAGTTAAAATCACTATGATTTTCTGTCAATTTTAAGTTTACAAGTTTACAGGCTCTACAAAGTACAGTGTAAATACACACATACACATTCTTTAATTGTGAGTATGCTGTTGATCAGGGAGTTCCAGGGTTCTTTCTTCAGTTGTTCCTGAGTGCCTTGAGCTTCCTCTCCTATCAGGAAGCTGATCAGTCCCCCCTTTCCTTGGATGTGGTCATCCGTCTGCAGGAAGTTCAAACAATGGCATTCATGTTCTACACCCTGCAAACATTGTTTGTTAGTAGGAGGGTAAAAACGTGTTTGCTTTGGATTCAAGCTGGGCAAAAAATGTGTCACGATATGAGTGTTTCATACATGTCGACAGCGATAATTACTGATTTTTTTTCCTTTGACATAATCAAATTAGACAATATAAAACGCACACAGCTATCAAGACAAAAAATACCATTCAAAATATCTGGTGGAAAAACTAACATGAAATCATTTACAAATAATTAGATTAAAATGATTAAAACCAAGATTCAGCAATTATACTTTTTTTTTTTTTTTACAATGGAATTTTTTTTGTTTTTATTGCCAACATTCTTTTAGGCATCATTTTCTTTTAGGTGTTTTTTATAATGCCAACATTATTTTCAATGTCAAAATGTAATGGCTGTGGTCTGTTTCCATTCTGTATGTTCTCAACAACTGGTAAGGGACACTCAAAAGAAACGAAAAGAATGCTATTGTAAATAAAGAATGGCCAGACATTTTAGAACTTAATCAAAAACAATTTGAATCCTTTAACAGGTGCCAGAGTTTGTGCTGACGATGTACCACCCCGCATTGTGCATCACCCCTCTGATGTCGTGGTGAAATTTGGAAAGCCAGCCACATTCTCCTGCCGGGGGGATGGAAACCCAAAGCCAACCATTGAATGGCTGCACAACGGCCAGCCTCTGGAGATATCAAAGGGAGATGGCCAACTGCAACCCATGATTTTATCAGATGATCGGCTTTTCTTCCTGAGTGTGGGTGGAAGTGATCATGGCCACTCGCATGAGGGAGTGTACACGTGTGTGGCCAGGAACAGTGCAGGAACGGCCATGAGCCACAATGCAACCTTGCACATTGCAGGTAAGACTTCTGCTGAATTTTACTGAATGATTCATGAGTGAAACTTTGCTCTAAAAAAAAAATCAGCTATTTCCACAAGCAAGTTGAGGTGTATCCAGTTTGATGTTTTGTTTTTTTGAATGTACAAAAGAAACCAACATTGATGGGCATCCCAGTGCAGCTGCATCATGTACCTACAAATGATTAACAACACCCCTCAGTAACACTGTCTTGACAGCCTCTGATTGGCGAGTTTTCTGCACACCAAGTTGGTTCAAATTTGATTGAAATCCAACACAGGATTCTTTCATTTGTGGATATAAATCTGATGTATACAGTATTAGATGCATGTGAAGTATGGCTCATCTGACCTAAATGTCATCAAGTGCCAAATATGTGCTCCATGCAAGCTTTGTAGAGCGCTTGGGAGACTACTCAATCGTCCTTGCATCTGCAAAGTTTTTTAGAGTACCGAATTTTCTGCACTATGAGGTGCTTCGGAGTATAAGGCGCACCTTCAATGAATGGCCAATTTTAAAACAGTTTTCAAAGATAGGGCGCACCACATTATAAGACGCATAGGATAGAAGCTACAGTAGCGGCTGAGGTTGCATTATGCATCCACTAGATGGAGATAAGTTAAAGGGAATACAATACAAAACACCTTGATTTATGTAGAGCTTTCTCAACCACTGCAGCTGTACCTAAGCGCTTTACAAAACATTTCAAATACACTAAATATGAAATATCCTTCACCCGTAATAAAAACCTATGCATTAACATTTTGACTACGATTTTATGTGTTACCGGAATTACGTAAGCGGAAATTCCACTAGCCGTAACCCGGATGGAGGCGTAATGCCGCGGGAGCTTAAATACACGCAACGCCCACCCCATGCGACCGAAAAGACACGACGCTGAGACACGTTTTCACTTAGCGTTTTTCGATCATCAGATTCGAAACGACGACGTGTAAGTGAGTTTTTATTGGCGTGCGTTTTACTGTAATTGTGAATGATTTTAACTTTATTCACTTACGTCCTGTAGAACGTGGCACTAGCTTAAAAGCAGCACCCACTCGACACGACCGAACAGACGTGTTCGCTTCGCCGTTTACATTCATCAGCTTCGATACGAAGACGTGTAAGTGACTTTTTATTGGCGTGCGTTTTACTGCAATTGCGAAAGATTTTAACTTTATTCACTTACGTCGTGTAGATCATGGCATCGAAACGTAGAAGAACTGTAATGACTGGAGCGGAGCGAGTGAAATGCATCCGTTTGAGCGAGGCTGGACACAAAGTTAAAAACATCCAGCAGACACTTGGAGTCGGAAATCTACGAAACTTTAAAAAACAAGGCATCAATTCAACTCCTGTTGACAAGCCACCATCCAGCGAGGAAGCAATGCAAATGGCAACAAAAATCCTTCAGTATGCACAAGAATTACCAGACATCGGTGATCAGCGGGACAGTTACTTGCAACTAACAAGAAAACTGTATGACACACAGGCAAACATTGTCATAAACCAAAGAATGCATCCAACAAAACAATCCAAAATAGACACATTTTTTTCCCAAGACAGAAAAAAATAAACAATACTTTACGTATTTTACTGTTGTGATTTTTTTTTTGGATACACCTGTATTGCAGTTTTTGTTATATAAATAGTTTTTGGACAGTATATTTTTGTATTTTATTGATTGTGTTGTTACACGTGCATTTTGTCAACATACTTGCAGGTTCATAAAGGACATGTACCATGCTCATTTCCCAAATGAGGAATTTCTTTTATCAGGACAAATTGGACAGCGCAAACACGAGTTCGTACTAGAGAATATTTACTGTACTATGTCCAAGAAATCAGAATATTGACCCATATATAAGGCACATCGGATTATAAGGTGCACTGTCGGCTTTTGAGAAAATGCTTTTAGGTGTGCCTTATTGTGCAGAAAATACGGTAATTAAAATCAAATTAGAGGCATAAAATGGAGCCAGATTGGGGTGATTTTTCAAAAGGTCACTTTAATAAGATTCTACTATCTACATAGAGTTTTGACATTTGTGACAAAGTGTTTTGTTGTTGTTGTTGTTGTTTTTTTTGTTTTTTTTTTTGATAACTGCAAACTGGCCCTGTGAAATGCAGGCTCCAAAAGGAGTGAATCCTAATGAAGCTTTCCTGTGCGCTAGACTGTCAGTCAGCCATCAACGCTTCATCAAGTTCAATAAGCACACGTTTCTAGGGACATCCAATCGTCTGAAGTGGCTTAACGTTTTCCTTTATTTGAAGCAGTTAATGTTCTTTAAATCTTAATTAACACACTTCAGTGCATAAAAAAGGCTGAATCTGTCATGATTTTTTTGACAAGAATACAATGACCTGGACGAATAAGAATATTCACACGCCAGAGATTAAATATCTGCTTCAAACGGGTCAGAAAAATACCCATTTACCTGTTCTTAATTTCAGGGCTGCTTATTTCATGCCAAACACACCAATCTCTTTGGTTTAGATTAATTTCTAGAAATTTGTAAATCTGACTCTAACATCACTCCCTCACCAGTCGTGAACCCTGCTGTAATGTTGGTGACATATTCAGGGTTCAAGGTAAATGTGAACTTTGGGAGTGTTCTTTATCAGGCCCCACAAGCTTTTTAAGGTCTAGCAATGCTTCTGTGAATTGTAGGTGGGGAGATTTGAAATTAAATGCTGAATATTATAAAAACCCAGTATGGTGAAGATAATACTGGGTAAATATGATCTGTTCTCCTTTGTGTAGTGCAGCCTTCCTCAAATGGGAGACTGAGGGCCGGCTTCAGACCAAGTCATGGTCTAATGCGGGCAGATGGTGAATTCCCTTTAAGTAAAAATAAAGTACTACACAGTTATGTGTCAAGCAGCTCGGTTTTATTACTTGAATCCGCTGTCATCGATGATGTAAGTGCGACTCGGTTGCTCCTGTTGTGATTATTTCACCAAAATAAGGCAATCTATTAGTTTACTGGAAGTGATAACATCAACGTGGAAGAAACAAACCTCCGACAGTCTTACAGTCAGTGGCTTCTTTTTGCATTTCAGCAGAGGCTGAAATGTTAAAAGATTGATGAGTTTAAGGGCCCATGATTCATTATTGACAGTGAGATGTATTTGTATTTTTTTCACCTCTCATACTTTTTTGTTAGAAAATGACCGCGGCAGCCTGTTGAGGTGTATACTGTATATAGTTTACCTATCTGTCAAAACAGTATTCGCAATCTGTGCTATTTAATAAGTTATTTATTTATTTATTGTCTGTTTGATGCCCTGATGACTTATTAATTCTCAGCCGTTTCTTGTACTTTGTAGCACTGCAGGAGGCCTTCACCGTGCAGCCCAGTGATGTCGAGGTGGCAGAGGGGGAAGTGGCTGTTTTAAACTGTGCCCCCCCAGTGGGACACCCAGAGCCTAACATTATGTGGAGAAAAGACGGCCTGCCAATCAACTACACTGACTTCCACTACACTGTAAGATAGTCTTTGCCTCTTCCTTAGCTTCAAATCAAATGTTTGCATGTTGGTTACTCAAGAGATTAGTCTTATTCCAGTACCTTGCATCGTGCTGTTATGCACAAAAGTCACCACACCACCATTAGCCTTTTTTTCTTTTCACTGCAGTCATTTTGACACAAGAAAATAAGAAATAGAACGGAAGCAATTAACATTATTGGCAAAAACAGTCCAAGCACAAACCTATGACATTTGGTAAAGGTGTGGCTCATTATGGCAACACCAGTCTGCTTGACATTTTCACTGGGTTGGGAATAAGAACTTGCCCCAACTGTATATTGTTATAGCCCTTGGATATAGTACACAAAGTGCACACACAATGCGTAGAAATAAAAAAACGTAGGACACAACGGTCATTGCGTTCTGTGGTCACTGAGAGCTACCCAACAGAACCAGCATCCAAACACCTGGACCAAACCAAAAAGGAGCAGGCTTGGAGAATGGTGAGCAAGGAAGTTAGTGTATTTGGTTAGTGTATTTACTTGTTTACAGGTGTAGAACTGTGTACCAAGATAGTACCGTATTGGCCCGAATATAAGACGTCCCTGATTAAAAGACGACCCGCTCTTTTTCAAGACTCAAGTTTGAAAAAAGACTTTTTGAACACCAAATTAATTTTTATACAGAAAATAATTACAGTAGATCTGAAACAAATGATTATAACAATATATTTGAGAGAAAAAGCAAGTTATTTTGCCTCATTCAAATCTCAATATCTGAACATTTAAATATGTAAACTAAAGTGCAATCACATTCGTAAATGAATGGCTTCTGGTTTTTGAAATGTAAATTACATCATAACTTCTCCTCAGCTGCCAGTTAACCTGGCCGATCTTCGACCCACTTTTCTCCAGATTGTCGCTACGTTTCTCCATTTTCTGTTATCTCTTCCATTATTTTCTTCTCTTTTCTTTCTTACCGCTATTTTTTTATTTTTCTTCTTCGTGCTACCGCTATTTTTATTTTTATTCTTCGTGACAGGGGTTCGCTTTGGCCTGCGGAGTCAAGTTCAGCATTTGCTTCAATGATATCTGACGCCATCTAGCGTGTGAATGGGTATAATGTCTAGACTCCGAATATAAGACGACCCCCACTTTTTCAGTCTTATTTCAATGCAAAAAACACCGTCTTATATTCGGGCCAATACGGACGGTATTTAGTATTAGGCAAATTATTAGTAAAACCACCGACCACCTGATTCACAAGCGAACTTTTTTTTTTTTTTGTATATCGCAGGAGAAACCACGTCAAGCAACCTCCCCTGTAGTTCCTCTGCGAACAAATGCACGCAAGACACCTAGGGAGAAGCAATATTTCGTATTTGCTCTGAATCTCGCTTTGGAGTTACTCCCTCAAAGCACAAATGGTATCACTCTTTTGGGTGCAATATTAAGTGATAGCATTTCCACCCAAATGGTGGTTTTGATGGCAGAGGGGCCTCTCTGCATCCTAACAAAGTGAAACCATACAGTATGTAGTTATGAGGGAGATATAGCCTGCTCCGATGAGAGGCAAAACATCTTCGAAGACAACTAGAACAATCCAGTTGCGATATATTCAATAAAGGAATCAAAACTGTGCTCAATATTTTTTAGGAGAATTGTTGCAGAATAATAATTGAACTTTCTCATTGTAGTGCTCCTTTATCTGCGTTGTGGCAAGCTGTACAATTATGTATGCCTTCAAAATGTACCATTTTAACTGTAATCTAAGCACCAAGTTTTAAAGCATCTTTTAATAATCAAATATAATTTCGATTTTTGTATTGACAAAAAAAGAGAGATAAATCAGTTTGCACTCACTGTCAACTGAGTAATAGCGATCAAAGCTCCACTGATAATTCAATATTATATTTTGCACATTTGTAAAGCGATCAAACTTTTACTGTGAATTCTTCCTCCTGTTGGTGTGTGTGTGGGTGTGTTTTTGTGCTATCCAGGAGCTGAATGGAAAGCTTATCATCGCTCCTGCAGAGAAGAACCACTCTGGTGCCTATGTGTGTGTGGCCAGCAACACGATGGGGAAGCGCGAGAGCAGGGCAGCTCGACTCACTGTGCTCGGTTAGACATTTCCAGAGTCGAAATTGTCATTTAATATTAAAGTATTTTAATGCAATACCATTTTTCGAAATGCAATTTCATTCCACTTTGAAAACCGATTTACTTTCTTTTATTCTAGCAAAACCAGTTTTAGTGGTCAAGCCAGAAAATGTCTCAGTGAGATTGGGGGAGTCTGCCCAGTTCTACTGTCAGGCAAAAGGTGATCCTCCACCTGCCGTGGTCTGGAGCAGAGAGCGGGGCCCACTGCCCAATGGCAGGTATTGTGAATGTCAGATTTCATCGTACAGTACACAGTACAATATAATGCTTGTTTTATTCGTACCACAAGCTCTAAAGCACTACAACTTAGAAAGTATCAGTCAGAATTTGTCTAACATGACCTTGATTGACTCAGGAGCTAAAAGTAGTGATCAGTAAATCTTTCTTTTTTTTTTTAGCCGTTCAAAAGGAATGTTTGGGCGCAAGTAAACCACTGCTCATCACCAAAAGAACACAATAATTAGAGTGAAGCATGGTGCTGGAAGCATCATGCTTTGTTTTTTTTTTTTTTTTTCCTTTGACTGGGGTCCTTCGACAATGCAGAGGGCATTATTCCACGTTCGTAATAACAGCCACTGTCCCTTCAGGCTTCTGCAAGAAAGTAAAATACAAAGTAAATGACAGGGAAAGATTACTAGAATATCCGAATTTTATTTGGAGTTTGTCAGAGGCACTTTAAGTGGTGACAAGTATCTCCAGAATCTCATTTAACAGTTTAACGTTAATTGGTTCATTCTTTAGAACCACATCCCACTTATATCTCACTGAGTGGCAAAGATTTGCAAATGTGTGCACACGTAGGGAATGTTTTTTTTGGGGGGGGGGGGGGGGTCAGAGTTCGTGCACATGCTTGCAAACCTTTGCCACTAAATGAGTATGAGGTTATTGTTCAAATTAGAAGTGGAAAAAGTTTTGAAAAGGTTCATCTTTAATTCTTTTTTATTTTTACTTTTATTATCAGGATTTTTTTTCAACCACAAATACCTGGCATTTGAACAGGGGTGTGTAGACATTTTATATCCACTGCATTTCTGTAAAATTGCACAAAACAGCAGCGTTTGAGCTGCCATTATATGTGACATCTCTCAACATAACTCAGCAAGCATCAAAGGATTAACTCGGCGTGTGTGTTTTGCTTTTGCTGCTTTGTGATCTTTTTGCATATTATTGAAAATCCCAAGAAATCTCTGTTCCCTAACCGTGTTGACTTTCTTTTGGCAGTTGGCAAATACTTTTTGTGCATTACCGCCGTTGGCCATAAGGTGGTGGTAATGCACTCAAAAGTATTGAGGTAAAAGTCACATTTGTGTCCAGATATCTTATGAACCCAGACCAGACACTTCAGATCCATTATGTGACGGCCCAAGATGCTGGCAAGTACACCTGCACAGCGGTCAACGATGTCGGTGTGGTCACAGCCACTGCACAGCTACTAATTGAAGGGCAAAGTATGTCCGTATTATTTTTGTTGTGCTCTTCATTTGGTGAAACATTTATTCCAATTAATGCATTATTTTGGTGAAACGATATGAGGTTGAAGTTTAAGTTGGGCGGAATCGTACCTCCAAAATTAGCACTTTTCAGGAGACCCAATAACATTTTCAGTCATTGACGTTGCATCATCCAAGATAACAATTCATTTTCAACACTTAAGTTTGCTCAGTAACAAACTCTGCACATTTACTAATTCCGCATTTACGAAACGACTGCGTGCTAACTTGCGTTCGTTAGTCTAACACATAGCAATAGCATCGATAGCATCAAACTCTTGACAATATACTAGCTGTCTCCTGGAATGACATCAAGTTACTGTAAATGACTTCTCAACTTTGACTGCACTTTGTTACTAAGGGTGTCTCCAAGTTGCAATAATTTAATACACAAAGTCAAACAACACAACTATACAGTGATACCTCTACTTACAAACGCCTCTTCATACAACATTTTCAAGTTATGAAACGCCTCAATAGGAAAATGTTGCCTCTTAGGAATGAAATTTCAAGATACGAAAGGTAGAAATTCAGTATGGGCTGCTCCTCGCAGCTCCGAGTTTCCTGAACGCAACATCCTTATAGCTGCTTTGCCATTGGCTATTACCGAGCATCATCCTGGCATCCCATTGGCTAAGAGGAACTTCTACCGAACGTGTCCGTGTGTAGATAGATAGACATGTGTCTTTGCAGCATTCTCGTCATTCGCCCTTCAGGCCATGAGGTGTTCTGATAGTTTTACGTTAATGTGAATCACCCAGAAAAAGCGTACACCTGTCGCTCACGATGCTGATGTTTGCCTTGGACGTTTTCGAAGGATTGTTAAAAGCCTTCCTTGGATCAGTTCTTTACATAACGGCAGGCCAAAAACCACTTCTGAGAGAGAACATGAACTAAAGAGGGCAAAAAACAATGAGGACGCAGTTAAAAGTTAAATGACCATCATTTTTATTCTTTACTCTATTCTTTGTTTTTTACAGGATGCACAGCTGTCATTTATTGTGCAATAATGTAATTACAACATGTATTTGTTATATTTTTGATGCATTTTTATGCTTTAGAAAACATTTATGTCTGATTTTTTTTTGGGGGGGGGGCTTGGAACGGATTAGGGCATTTACATGCAAATCACGTCTCTACTTACAAATTTTCTAGTTAATAAATTTCTTCCAGAACCAATTAATTTCGTAAGTAGAGGTACCACTGTAACTATATTACAACATGTCTGAATCAAATAAAACATTATATTAACCTTCCATTCATCAATAATAATTGCCTGTAACCTGATAACATGACAAGCTGTCCACTGTCGTAACCGCTGTCCCTGAAAAGGGTTAAAGAGGTGGAACACAGTCACAAATGTTTCTTGTACATATGCGTTCCTTGTAACAGCACAAAAGCATGCTAGGAAAGCCTCCATGTGATCGTAAAATTTGTGCCAGTCCCCTAAGTAGTGCACCGGCAGTGGTGTGAATGTGTTAAAATTGGTAAATACTGACAGACAATGCCAAATTAGCTGCCTAAGCGTTGCTGAAATAACATTTGATAAATCTGCTTTGTTAAGTGGAAAGTGTCTCATTCCATGTTAGGTACACTTGCATATTGCTCTCTCTCTCTCTTTCTATCTCTCTCTCTCTCTCTCTCTCTCTCTCTCTCTCTCTCTCTCTCTCTCTCTCTCTCTCTCTCTCTCTCTCTCTCTCATAATCTTATATAATGCAGTAAGCTGCGTTTATTTCCTGTAGCTGCCAGCACGAAGCAGAAAGATCTCCACATAGAACTGTCAGCCCTGCGAGTGGTCCTCGAAAATGTCACAATCATGGCCCCAGGCTCCAACATATCACAAGTGCAATGGAAGGTATCTAAACACTGTGACATGGAAAATTGAGAGCATGTTTTGCTTCATCAGTTGCTTTTCTTCATCGCGTTCTTTCAGTTCCAGTCCCTCCCCATTCAGCCTCATTACCTCGATGGCTTTGAGGTCCTCTATCGTTGCCTTTTCCCCGCCAGCTCCGACTGGGCCGCAAAAAAGGTGACAGTGCCAAGCTTTCAGACCCAGGTTGGCCCATTAAGGAGAGGCTACAAATATGAGTTTAAGGTTCGCCCCTATGGCAGCAGTTTGTATGGCCGGGAGAGTAACACACGGCTCCTTAGAGTTCCGGAGACGGGTGAGGAATATTGCAGTCATTATATTTTCATAATTTGGAATTCAATGGTTACTTCATGAACTTTTTCGATGCAGTTCCCAGTGCAGCTCCACTCGCTGTGTCCATAACAGTTTATCATGATCACAACAACTCCATCCACCTAAACTGGGAGCCTCCTCCATCTGAAACTCACAATGGAATCATCCAAGGTTACCAGGTAATGCTTATTTAGCTGATTTGATCTTATAATAATAAAAATAATAATAATAATACATTTATTTTGAAAGCGCTTTTCATCGTACTCAAAGACACTTTCCAAGAGTTTAAAACACGGGATAAATGTACACTTTGAAGGCAAGAATACATGATTTAAAACAACTAGTCTCTCTTTATCTGCACTTCACTTGTGACACCTTTTCCTCATTTCAAGTTTAGAAGCAAATGTGATGAGTCATCAGAACCATTTCGTTCATGGTTCACTTTTTGAGCGGAGACCATTTCAACACATAATACAGGAGACCACAATTGTTTCTCAGTATATGCGTTATATTGTTAGTTAGTAGACACTGTTCGCAGTTTTACTGTAGTTCTGTTTCAGTTACATTTTGGCATCAAGTCAAGAACAGTACATACCTGTATATATTTGACTTGTTTTGCATGCGGTCACTATTCTGTGAGTTGCACGCCAGATGCACAGACTTATATTCACACATTATTTGTGTGTCGGAATACACACTGTCACATTTTTGCTGAAAAGACAGAAAATAATGTGGAAATGCTGCAAAGAAATTAATGAATTCAAATTTGGTAACATAAGATGCCCGCCGGTGGCTTCACCTTTCACTACAGTGAATAAACAGTATTGTGTTCCTATGACCAAATATTCTGGTTTGAAAAGGGACCCAGAGGTCTTATTTGGGTTTTTAAAAAGCAGAATGCTTTTTTTTTTTTTTGCTAAGATTCAGGTTTTGAAAGGGTTATTGACTGCATGTGAATGTATTCATTGTCATCAAGTGTACTGGTATTTAAATGGTAATATTTTTTCTTTTTCACATCTTTTCCACACACAATTTCTTGAAAAAAATAGTTTGATCAACTCTTAATTCCTATGCTGGGAGAGTAGACACAGTGGGTAGAAACTGTAAAAGTATAATATTCAACGTTTGGACGTTTCTAGGCTGGTCCAGAAAATGCCACCCAAACTTCAATCCAAACTGTTTCTTCATTCAGGTGTGGTGTGTCGAGTCATATGAGCAGCAGTACCAAAACTGGACTGTTGATAGCAGCCAACACTGGCTTGATATTTTTGCCCTGCAACCGGGGAAACGCTACTGGATTACCCTTGCAGCAGTGAACGGGGCTGGAGTAGGGGTGCCAAGTGACCCCCATGGATTTGTCATAAGTAAGCTAAAGCACATTTGAATCATTTTCGGGGCAATGCAAATACTACTTGTAATTCATTTTGTTTTACTGACACATGGAACATTATTTGTGGAGTAATTAATTTTGTTTGTTTGAAAGACCCACAGATAAGAGTTACTTCTGAGAGAGAAAGCCGCAGACCGGATCAGTCTCCCTTGCTTTCGCTGCTTCAGGATCCTGTATTGATCGGCAGCATTAGTGCCCTCCTGTGGTGCATTTTGGTAGTTGCAGCTGTCTGCCTCCTAAGACGCCACAGCAAAATGGGTCACCTTATACCAGGTCGTGACAGGGCTAAAGGTGTGTAATTGACCAACATGTAAAATGAACAACTTAAACATTGAAAATTTTACATGTAGAGGTCCATTTAGGATATTGTTGAAAGATTGACACCATCAGAGGTAATATTTTATCTAGTAGTGATGTCGTTGAACACACATCTGAATACATTACACTGATTTTAAAGTCACTGAATAGTCTCCCTGTGTTTAAGGATTTATTTTAATGTTGTTTTATTGGTTTTAAAGTCATTGAATCGTCTCCCTGTGTTTAAGGATTTATTTTAAGGTTGTTTTACTGGTTTTAAATGTCTTTATGGACCAGGGCAGGGGTGTCAAACTAATTTCACATTGAGGGCCACATATGGCCTCGGTAGATGTCAAGTGGGCCGTACCATTACAATTATACCATACTCTGCTCTCAATAACCAAAATAATATGTCTTTCCTTTGTTTTGGTCTAAAGAAGCACGAGAACATTAGGAAAACGTTGACATGTAATGAACATATGTTTTACAAAACATTTCATGAAGCACCTTATATTTCCTGAGACAAACGTGCAATTTACTTTTATCATTCACATATATGCATTGCAACTGATCCCACTGATTGTACAAAGGCACAAAACTTTAACAAGTAATTGGAGTAATGCTTGTTAAGACTAAATGAGATTTATAAAGAATAAGAATAAAAGAATAAGAATTTTTAAACCATTTACACATGTGCATATAAAATCTAAATTTAATCCTTGCTTACACCTTACAAACTAAGGAGAGTGCTATTAAATGTGTAAAGAATAAAGTATTCACATGTCCTTGATAGCGTCTGCTGTGTTGGGTCTGTCTCAGTGACAGACTGAGACTGCTGTTGTCTTCTTCTCTGATCAAAACAATGTTGTCATCTACTCTGATCAAAACACTGTGTCCCCTAGCGGATACTCCATGAATTGCACTTTATTAAAAATATTAATTCCGTGTCTTTTATGCATTTGTTTCACTTTTAAATGATCCTGCGGGCCTGATCGAACCTCCTTGGGTGCCGGTTCCGGCCCGCGAGCCGTATGTTTGTCACCACTGGTCCAGGGCCTTACTATCTTTCCGAACTTCTTTTACCTTATGAATCCCTCGAAAACGAGCCCAAGAACAGTGGAGCTCGGACTCGCACCCAAAATCCCCATTTACTAATCATGGTTGCTTTCGGAAACATGCTTCTAGCCCACACCTCTCCACTCCGACTGTCAGGAAACTCAGAGCATTGTTCAAATGTGCCATTCAGTCATTCAACGAGCCCCAAAAAAGGACTGCCGTAGCCCAGTGCGTCGGGCAGTATCATGGTTATTCTAGTTTCAAAAATGAAAAAACTACAATCGAAAATATATTTAGTTAACAAAAAAAAAAATAATTTTAAAGACACAAAAACTAACAAAGTACTTCTTCGCTTTACAAATAGAAATAACTCTGATCCTGGTGCAGACGCCCCCTTGAGCTGCTGTTTCCTCACCTGGATGCTCTCTGCCCAATCTGAAATCCTTAGGTCATGACATCATTATTTTTAAATTGTTTGTGTGTGTGTCTAGGTCCTTGTGGAAGAGTGGCAAGAAGGATTCATTTTATTTAATCAATAGCAGTTTAGGTTACATGAAAAGCATTGTGTAAATAAAGTTCGAATGAATGGTTGACCGATTGAATGGTTGATTCTGCTGTGATTTTTCTCAATAGGTTTGCGAAAACAAGCTGGTGAAGATATCTTTATTAATCACAGGTAAAAAGACGTGAGGTATGTGTTATCGCATTTTGGAATGCTCAGATGCTTGAAACTTGCTTGCATTGTGATTCCTCCTCTTCAGGATGACAGCTCCAGACTCTCCATGGATCTCTGGGAGTTGGAGACCTGCTTTTAACAAGAAATACCAAGATTTGTGGGCTCAAGACCTCAAACCTTCGGGGATGAGGAACTCAAGTGAGGACTGACTCCATATTTTTTTTTCTTTTGTTTTAATTTTTGATATTACACAAATGACAAAAAATACAACGACAGCACAGCATTCCACATAATACGGAAATAAACAAAGGACGGAATCGGGGAGGGGGTGCAGATAAACTTTGGAAACAATCGTTAATCCACAGTTATTTAGATCAAGTTGTTGTTCCTTTGTTCCCTAATGACAGTCCATTTTTGCAGCTTGTCCCTTTTCATGATTTTTGAAGGTTGAAGTTGCCTTTTCAGTAGGTCTAAAATGTCATTCAACCAATTATGTTTATTATAATAGTCTGTCTTACATACATTCCAATTCATAAAGTTAATTCTGTTAACAGACAGAATTCTTACCTGTACACGTTGTTTTACGTCCCAGTTAATACATGTCAGAATATTAAGGAATGTGACTTCTCAATATCACTTGGAAAATATCAGTTAGGGAGTCAGTCAACACATCTTTTTGCATATCATTGCAAATAAGACTGAGGTTTTCTAAAGTTAGGGTAAACCAGCTCTTTTGGGGGATGAATTCATTTTAACGCCTGTTTTTTAAAATTTCATGAACCTTTTTACGGTTTATGAATTTTACCATGAATTTTTCAATGCGTTATTTTTAAGCAGTACATTCATATTAAACCAATGAACCTGAAATTTTCACAAGACGGCTTTCTTTTTGAGAACTTCAAGAAAATACAATCGCGCAGCATGTACTTGCATGCTACTGAACACCCATTATTTATTTGCTAACCTAGGGTTGTTTTTCTATAGAAAGAAACAAAACCATGCAACAAACAAAATATGTATTTGAGGGGAACGCAAGGAAAATATTTCTAATCCAAGCTGTCTAATGAAAAAAGATCCAGTATGTGTATATGTACGCATGTACCGGTACATGCTGTGTATGCTAAGCTAAATATTCGCTATCCATTTGCATTTGTGTTGACCCGCTGTTTCAGTTTAACTAGTTGGCTCAATGGTGGTATCTGAGGTATTTCTGTTCTCAGCTCTTCCTCACTAATTATCTGTTTGTAGGCTCCGTGGCCTTTGTCTTCTTTTCTCCATCTTGTCTCCTGCTGTGTTGTTTTTCTGGCTGTCCATATAAATTTAAAATGTACTGATTGTCTGTTTGTCTGTTACGTTCTCGGCACATTTAAGTGCTTTTCAGAGGATCTAGACACCATTCTTCTTGTGTCATGTGATTTTCACGACCTGACTGAATTGCTATCAAGTGTCTGTTAAATGTGCCAAAAACTTACTGGACTTCATAAAGTCCATCTGTTTCCTTTTTGTTGTTTGTCTCGTTTTCACTACGCCGGGCAGTGAATTGCCACTTCAATCATATTTGAATTTATGTTTCATCAGACTTTCAAGTGCCAACTAAGAAAAACCCTAGCTGTATGGACTCAGCTGTTCCCATTGTGACTGACAGCTGTGGCGTCTATGGCACCTTTTATGTTGACCTCATGGGAAATGGGCTCAAGACCTTCAACAGTCCCAGACGTTACCCCGAAATGCCTCTTGGCCTGCCACAACAGCATGGATTTGAAACCATTCAGATATTCACTCAGCCGAAGACCTCACCACTCACTGGTAGGGAGATGTTACCATGGAAACAGTCCATACGGCCTCAGCCCAAAATGGGTGTTTTGAGGGAGTCATGGGAGAAGAAACACATCAAGCAAGGTGAGTAGTGGCGAATGAGTATTACTACTTTTTAAATGCAACGAGTCAAGTTTCCTTTTAGGTGGATGTCTGTGAATGCTACTCTCAATGAATTATTTCAAAACGACAGTAAAATGTAGTGTTTTTTTTTTTTTTTTTTGTAGGTCGCCACATATGAATAAAATTTGCATTGTTACATGATGTGTTGAAGGAGCTAAATTATAACTGTATTTTGTGCACTATTTTGCGCTTCGGCATATAAGGCACACCTTCATTGAATGGCCTATTTTAAAACAGTTTTCGTTTGTAAGGCGCACTGCATTATATAGAACAGAAGCTACAATAGTGGCTGTGGTTGCGCGATGCATCCACTAGATCAGGGGTGGGCAAACCTTTTGGCTCGGGGGCCACATTGACTTTTAAAATTTGACAGACTGGGTCAGCACAAGATACGGCACATATTAAAGAAAAACCTTGAAAAAAACAGAACAAAAGCTTGAAAGTATTAACATACAGTGTTGTTGATCACCCATTTTAGCCACTGCATTGCTGCAGATGGGTTGTGATCTGACCAGTAGAAGTAGGAGCGATACAGTATTTTCTAGTGAAGGAATCATATTTGCGGTGTCCAATATTTCCTTACAACAGAATTTCCTTCTGTGGGAAACAACTACGTTTCATGTCCTGTATGAAAGTCCAAGTATGTTAACAACATACATGTGTGACAACACAAGCAGCAAAGTGCAACAACATATTGCCCAAAAACTATTTATAACACAAAAACTGCAGTATACAGTACAGGTATATGAACAAAATATAGTATAAAAAATTAGGACTATTTGCTACAAAATGAGACTAATATCAGACCTTGATAGCTTTTCTTTCCACTCACTTACTGTCTCTAACTTGATCACCCCTCCATCACCACCCAAGACAGCGTTGCTTAGCTGATGTCGTGCAACCAACTTTTGAAGCCAGCCACGGAACGCTTCGAAGTCTTTGATGCCCATAGTTAGAGCTGTGGAGCTCGCCTTCTCTCTTAACAGCGGTCCACTTTGCTGAAGGTTTTTACCACGATAACAGTCAAACCATTCAAGGAAACGTCCATTGACTCGACTGTCCATCGAGTCGCAAGCAATTCACTGTGAGCAGGGAAATTGTCAGAATCGGACTGAGAAAGAATCACTTCCTTGTTTTTCAAAGTCTCTGACTCGAAGCGTTTCCTGAATGTTTCGTACTTTGTGACTTAATCGGATGCATTTCACTTTCTCTTCCGCGGTCATTATTGTTCCTCTTCGTTTGGATGCCACGATCTACAGGGCGTAAATGTAAATGAATGCCATTTTTAAAAATTTGCAGTTCCAGTAAAACTCACTGCAATAAAGAGTCACTTACATGCCGCTGTTTTGGATCCAATGATAGAAAATTGTGGCGCGGACACAGTTATTCCGTCGTATCGAGCAGGAGTTGCTCGAGATGGCGCTACTGCGGGCTTCCGTATGGCTTCCGGGTCCCGGACCTTCCATTGTTATGAATCGATCATTAATGTAATATAGTAGTAGAAAGTTTAATGCATAATTTATTTCTTTTACCGGGTTCAGGAATTTCTGTTTGACAGAGGTCCGCAGGGAGCAGATAAGATTTCTCCCTCTATCTCTCTCCCGCTCTCTTTGTCTCCCCCTCCCTCCCTGTGCTCTGCAACTTCAAGTTACTGCACCACCTGCCGTTGAAATGCCTGTCATTACAAGTCCAAATGAAATTAATGCAATTATTCACATCGAACCTTAATTGTGTACCAACCTTCGGCGGGCCGGATTAAAAAAACCAACGGGCCGGATCCGGCCCGCGGGCTGCAGTTTGCTCACTGGGGCTAAATATCCTTTGACGTCTTGCTTTTCTCCTTCTTCCTAACTCTGCTTTTGATATTTTCTTCGTTCATAATGGCTGCGCAGAGCTTACAAAGTAGTTGTCTGTTTGAGTGTGGGTTGGCGAATGCACATTTCCATTAGTGTCGGGCAGAACTCTCTTAGGTTACAATTGGTTCCTGCTAATAATCACAACTAGATGGGATCGGAACACTGACATGGAAACAACTCAATGGGGAAGATAAAGAGACTGTGACACCATGTATAAAGCGCATCGGATCATAGGGCGCACTGTTTTAGGAAAATTTAATGCTTTTCGGTGCACCTTATAATGCTGAAAATATGGTTTGTTGGCGCACAAGAGAGACCATAAGGCTCAATGGTATGACTGGCATAAATGTGGTTTTCATTGTTGCAATGGCCAAGATACTGTATTTATTATTACAACAAGACAGTGTACCCTTCAAATGACTTTGAAGTTCACTCTGTCAAACATAAACAATGTTTCATTTTATTAAAAAAAAAAATAATAATAACAATCTGATAATTTGAAACTGCCTGTGCTGCTTGGTTGAGTTTCTAATGTGTTTAATTGAAATACTATGAATAATTTTGCATGAGTCATTATGATTTTAATACAGTGAGATAAGCGGTGCAGAAAATGGATGGATGGATGTGGGTGGTAGATGATACCTCAGATTATCAAAAACCTTTTGTCCAAATCAACACAAATTGTTTTATTTACTTTTTATTTTTATTTCTCCTTTTGTAATTTTGTTTGCCTTTTGTCAATTGTTGTTGTATTGTATGTTCAATAAACAATTAACTAACTAACTAACTAACTAACACACAATTTACATTATTAGATGTATTTATTTTTTGTGTACATCAACAAAATACTTTCTTTTTACCTGCAGAGGTACATGCAGTGAAGAGTGTCCCCATAGTGCAAATCAGAAACCACGTTGATCCATCTTATGTCAGCCAACAGAGATTCAGTCATGTCCCATCGGGTCATCTTGGTATAGTTAAAAATTCCCTCACTCGTCAACATCAACCTCCACTTGTAATTGTCTTCTGATGTTGTACCTATTTCAACTTTTCTTGTATGTCTGTACACTGTGGATTTCCAGAGTATAATCAGTTTGCCGACTGCCCTCGGGTACAGCATAATTTTGCGTCACTACAACAAGTAGATGTGCGACCACCACCCAAACTGTTTAACTTGGAGGAAGCTATGGACATGCACAGTGTGACTTCAGATGAAGGGTAAGACACACACGTTATATCAGAAATAGTGATTGACCAATTGTCTGGCTGATATTCGGCATTTTGATGCAACTTAGCATCAGCCAAGTTTAAAAATCCAAGTAATCAAAAACTGGGTTATTTTAAGATCTTTGCAGTCACCTGCTGGCTAGTAGCAGCCGACAGGATGTGTGTGTGTGTGTGTGTGTGTGTGTGTGTGTGTGTGTGTGTGTGTGTGTGTGTGTGTGTGTGTGTGGTTTTTTTTTTTTACTTCAAGATAATAATGAGTGACCAAGTGAAATAATTTCAATTTTTGGTACGTTGAAAAATTGTAAGACTTCATTCACTGTCGAAAACTTTAGGGAACTATTTATTTGCTGATGTTTTCATTTGACTTTTGCTGCTTTTTGCTGCCCAGTCTGCGAGCACCCTGCACTTTTTGTTCAATATTTTAAACAAAGATGTGCAATTTCTAAGACTGAAAAAAACTTTTAACATGTTACAAATATGGATAGCTCGTTAATAAACAGAACCTTAGCGCAGGGCCCCACGATGTCCCGAAATAGTGGTATGTTGCCCTTAAAATTTGAGACACTGCAACTGCATTTTTCATCTATATCAATAAGTTTGATGATTTAAAAAAAGTATTATTGAATATTTTTTATTGCTGACAAACTTCTGCTCCATAATCCACCCATGTATTGTAGTAATGTAGTGAAATGAAAATTGACTTTGCAAGTCAATTTGTGATTCTTCGACACATCTCAGTGTTCGACTTTACACCCCGGAAATGTCAGGTTAAGGGCCACTGGGTTCCTAGTTTAAAAAAAAAAAGTTAAGATTGAGCCCTGCCCAAAAGACAGAACTTGAGCTACTCAGTGACGTATTTGGGTGACTGGGCAGCAAGTCATATTTTGTTAATCGCCATCCCATATCCAAAGGTGGCACACAGGCAGGCTTTCACCTGTCTATTTGCGGTTAGCTCTGCCTGACTGGTGCTGCTACCCTATTTTCATGCTTCTGAGCTGGCGAGCTTCCTCGGCGAGCTGGCTAGCTTCCTCAGCAAGCAGGGTCGCTCTCTTCAGCGAGCCGGCTCGCTCTCTTCGGCTTCCACCCCATTGGTTCAGCTGGACAGTCTCTGCCATGTTGTAGTTGTCCTGCACCATTTTTGAATCTTTCCATCTGTCATGCTGTGGCTAATTCATCTCTACTTTCCCCCAATCACCTGTCATGGCCGATGTCCACCTCCAGAGTATTCTTTTATCCCAGGACCATTTTCTTTCTGGGAACTTTTTTTTCAATTCCACCGGGCTGGACAGTGTCTCATCTCTGTGTTGATCCATCCATCCATCCATCCATCCATTTTCTGATCCGCTTTATCCTTACAAGGGTCACGTGGTGTGCTGGAGCCTATCCCAGCTGTCTTCGGGCAGTAGGCCGGGGGACACCCTGAAAATGCTTGCCAGCCAATCGCAGGGCACACAGAGACGAACAACCATTTACGCTCATAATCACACAATTTGGATTCCAGCTGCAGCCTTCCTGTTTGGAGTCTGCATGTTCTCCCCGTGACTGCGTGGGTTTTCTCCGGGTACTCCGGTTTCCTCCCATCCATCCATCCATCCATCCATTTTATGATCCACATATCCTCTCAAAGGTCGCCAGGCGTGCCGGATCCTATCCTTGCTCTTCAGGCAGTAGGCAGGGGACACCCTAAACCGGTTGCCAGCCAATCGCAGGGCACACAGAGACAAACAACCATCCACGCTCACACTCACACAGAGGGACAATTTTGAGCGTTCAATCAGCCTGTCATGCATGTTTTTGGAACGTGGGACGAAACCAAAGTACCCGGAGAAAACCCACACAGGCCCGGGAAGAACATGGCACTCCACACAGGAAGGCCAGAGCTGGAATCGAACCCGGTACTTCTGCACTGTCAGGCCGACGCGCTAGCCACTCCCACACCGGGCCGCCCTCTCTGTGTTCACTTTAGTTTTTTTCAATATCTAAAAAAAAAAAAAAAAACCACACAAAAAAAACATGGGAGGGTTTGTGGGGTTTTTTTCCCTTATTTTTGCTTTTTTGTGAGGGTGGCGCCAACCTCTATTTCTCATGAAAGAGTTTTTTTTTTGAAGAATTTGGAGGGGGGGGTTACAAAAAAACAAACAAAAACAGATGTGCTGTGGAAAAGTGGTTGGGAAATACTGGTATACCAGTGGGATAGAAAATGGATGGTAAACGTGCAAACAGCTAATGGTTAGGCTCTGCCAACGAAGGTGCTTCTACAGCAGGGGTGTCAAACTCTCTTTTGTTGTGGCCCACATTGAAGTTATGGTGTCCTTCGGCGGGCCGTTATGATTGTGAACCCATATAAATGTAAATTGTTCTTATGTTATCACATATACACACCAAATTGATGGATAACTCGTTTTGAATTCAGGCACAGGAAATAGTGTGTTCAAGTATTTCTCACTTTATTTTCATAGAGGTTTGGGAACAAATGCTCGCAATATCTTATGCCTCGGTGTTAAAAGAGAAGACGATTTGAAATAAAGATGAAGTCAACACATTATTTGCCTCTGCGGACCACCTAAAATTATTTTGCCGGCCAAATCTGGCCCCCAGGCCTTGAGTTTGACATAAGTGTTCTCCAGGCACATAGATACTGTATTGGCCCGAATATAAGCCGGCCCTGATTATAAGACGACCCCCTCTTTTTCAAGACTCAAGTTTGAAAAAAGACTTTTTGAACACCAAATTAATTTTTATACAGAAAATAATTACAGTACATCTGAAACAAACGATTATAACAATATATTTGAGAGAAAAAGCATGTTATTTTGCCTCATTCAAATCTAAAGTGCAATCACATTCGTAAATGAATGGCTTCTGGTTTTTGAAATGTAAATTACATCATAACTTCTCCTCAGCTGCCGGTTAACCTGGCCGATCTCTGACCCACTTTTCTCCAGATTGTCGCTACGTTTCTCCATTTTCTGTTATCTCTTCGATTATTTTCTTCTCTTTTCTTTCTTACCGCTATTTTTTATTTTTCTTCTTCATGCTACCGCAATTTTTATTTTTATTCTTCGTGACAGGGGTTCATTTTGGCCTGGGGAGTCAAATTCAGCATTCGCTTCAATGATATCTGGCGCCATCTAGCGTCGTGAATGGCTATAATGTCTAGAACCCGAATATAAGACGACCCCCACTTTTTCAGTCTTATTTCAATGCAAAAAACACCGTCTTATATTCGGGCCAATACGGTATTTGCAACAACTCTACATGAAACCGTAACCTTTCTATCTTTCCTCATTTCTGACGAACTTCTTTGAAACTACAACTTTAGTGCTGAATTATGCCAATATTGTGTCTAAAGTGCAGAAAGGTTTGTGTTACCACTGAGCACAATGATTTATTATTCTGAGTGGAAAATTATAAAGAACACAATAATGTTTTCCCTGGGTCTAACACTAAAAAAAAGTGTGCCTTGTTTTTCATTCTTTTCAGATCCAGTCGCTCCACAAAGCTAACAATGGATCTCGGCTCTCTCCAGTCAGTGTGTGATACCTCAGGCAACTATCTACTCTCCACCAACAACAATACGAACTATCCCTCCTATAGCCCACTATCCACTGCATTGTCCAGCAGATCTCTGAATGAAGAACAAGATGGCACACTAACTGCACAGGAAGCCACCCAGTATCTGGAGCTTAGTCCCAAACTCGAGAAATCCAGGTATGCATACAATAATAAAAAAAATGATGTTTTTCACTTTTTGTTCAAGATCGCTCACCCACAATATAGCCTTTTCTTTAAAAAAAACAAAAAAATATCACTAGCTGACCAAATCATTGTTCTCTATCATCAGTGCTCTTTCTTGCCTCCTCCCTCTTCCCTCCACGATGGGTTGTCACAGTGAGCTCATCCCTTCTACTCCGATGCCCCCTGACACTTCCTCTGAGGCCCCACCGATTGGATTGCGCCACGCTCGCCTTCAAAGTTCACCTTCCTCCTGTTACAGTGAGTGGGACAGCTCCCTGTGGAACACCTGGAGCTCAATTACGGATGGAAACTTTGCAAGTGCCCGCGCAAGCCTCATCAGCTCAGTCGACAGCTGCTACACCAATGCCAGTAGCAACTTTGCCCACTTTCTGACAACAGAGTCTGTATCTGGAGCTTCTTTGTCAGGTAAGCAGATAAAAACCCCATTGTTATGTCGCTGCAAAAACATTGCGTTTAGGCGTAGAAAAAAAAGTCGTGTGTTTCCGGTAACATGAAATTTCAGCATAGGGTCGGTAGGTCGGACAAAGTTTTTTTTTTTTTAATCCCCCCCCCCCATCAAAAATGTAAACAAAATAACCATAAAACATAATACAAGGAGACATTGAAACCCCCGCTTGCCGCCAAAGGCGGTGAGAGAGTTGGGTACCCGGCGGCTGGGTGTTACAGCCATCTCGTTACCTCTGCGTCCCGCGTCCTAGACGCATAATTTTCCCACGGGACGCACAGTTCCAAATAATGTGTGTTTTTGGGACGCAAGGACATTTCTCAGTCAAAACAAACAAACAAAACAAAAAAAAACTACGGCAAGCCTGAGGATTTCACGGTAACAATAGTTACCGGTAGCGTATCGTTTCCGTGGCGTCATTTTAACGGTACCGAAAATTAGTTTAACCATTAAAGTCACCGCACACGACTTGACTGTGTGATCAACGCGATTTCACTGCGCCTCTATGTGTGTTTGTGGTGTGGTGTGTGAGTGTGTTTCTTCTAATTTACTTTCGTTTTGTTTTGTTTTCAGTGTTGGGGGTGACGCAACAGATAACGTTATATGCGCATGCGGGTTGCTATTTTAGTCCACAAATTGAGGAATCGCGTGGATGAAAGTTTGAGATGGCGGCGAAAAAAACTCACAAAGGTCTACTAATTACGACATTTCAGAAATGGGAATGCCAGTCTGATTTTTCGTATGAATCGTCCAAAGGACGTATCACTAAACTCACCTGTGACGTATGCACAGAACACGAGAGCGAGATACGACGAGAGGCACGATTACGAGCAAGTTGGTCATTAGATTTGTAGGCTAATCGCTATGAAAAATATTATGAAACAGTATTGGTTATTCTATAATTTACTGGTTGTAGCATGGTACCTTTATGAATAAAACATTCATCACAAGGGGTAGTAATGCTAATGTTAACTGTTGGTAGAACTAATGATGACGTGTGTTAAATTTGAAGGTTGTTTGAAAAAAATGCTGACCGTAAAGTTTTTTTTCGAGGTAGAAATTCTCGGTCGGTCGGGTTACCGGAAACACACTACTTTTTTTTCTACGCCTTATCTACGTAAATCAGTGGTCCCCAAGCTTTTTTATGGGACCACATTTTTCAGACTATAAATTGCATTTTTTTCCCCCATGGTTTGGCTGGTACTCATACTCAGGAGCGACTTGAAAATATTAAGATGAGAGTTCATACTCGCACCCAAAATCAATGTTCCATAATTGTGCTGACGGCACTGAACGAGTTCTGTTTGGATTCTGCGTCTAATTATGGAGAAGCTTTTCTTTTTGTTTTCTAATGGCATACCTTAACTAACTCACTGCGTGGGTTTTTCCAGGTACTCCGGTTTCCTCCCACATTCCAAAACATGTGTGGTATATTAATTGATCACACTAAATTGTTCGCGGTGATTGTGGGTGTGAATGATTGTTTGTCGACAGTGCTTGATATAGCATTTGTCCCCGTCCTAATTTCTGTGTTCTTTGCATATTTGTCACAAACAAAGATTTCAGTTCAACAAACAAATATTAGTATCACACAGAGACGACCCAAGGAAATAGACAATGCAGTTTCTAAATGCCAATTTAATTTATTAAGGCACAAAAAAAATTTAATCCAGCTTTTGTGCGATTTTGTGTCACAGCACTGAAGTGTTTGCTTTTGTAATCTAAACGAGAACATAAAAAGAGCGGATTTAACGAAAAAAATCAGTAGTGGGCATCACACCCTGCAGTGTGAACGTAGCCTGTCTAAGCGCGCCAGCAAGCTACCGGGATGAAAACGACCTATACATGCAATATTTTGTACCTCGCAGCAAGTATTATGTACTACAATTGAGTACCCACTTAATTGTCATGCCTGTCACTAAACGTCAAAGGCATAGATAGATGAACAAAGATACATTTGTAATGAATAAATAAGGATAATAAATAAGGATTTTCATAAAAATGAAATCTTCCTACAGCTGGCGAAGAGCATTCTGTTGATGAGCCTTTGTGGGTGCACTCTGACTACGGCCCAACACGTCATTGTGAGCCGATTTTGGGAATGCATTTCCAGACCATTAAAAATGTTGTATTCTCATGATTAGTGTTAGTATTGTAATGATTCTTATTTCCCGATACAGTCCAAGTATTGTTTTGAGTTTCAATCAATGTGTGACATTATTTTATTCACTAACTGGTTGGGAGTAATCACAAATTTCTCTATCCATATGATTTGACATTCAAGGTTTTTTGCTGCCTGAGTTCATTTGTAACAAAACAAAAAAATCTGCACTGACATATTTTAGCCAGCTGTCCTTTATTGTGTACCCTTTGCAATGAAATCATGATTAGCCTCAGGTAGAGTTCTTAATGCTCAAGACCATTACCAGAACATAAGTGTGAAACGTTGAAACCTGTTTTTAATTTGCTCAATGTAAAAGCAAGTCGCCGAACAGCACTGGTCTTGTTACATACAGTATGCTTTTATCTGGCTGGTCACAAATGTTGAAGGAATCCAGTATCTCAATTACATGTGTCTGTAAGGCAAGACCAAATAATTCCTGCACTCAGCTTTAGACAGCAGTGATGTATCATCAACAGCCATTGTCCAAACATCTAACTGAAGGCTGCTCCTCTACATCAACCCTTTGAGTCTTGTACAGTATGTGCTTCTGCATTCATCCACTAGGTGGGGACCTCGTTCTAGTTATGCATGTTGGCAGATTTATCTTTCTCATTACCGAGAAAATATTTTGGTGGTCTTTGCAGGTTGGCACTATAGAGTCATCGTGTGCTTATTTACAGGATATACATAACAAATTAAAGTAGCAGAGGTAGGAGTCGAAAGTCGAACATGAAAGTTTGAAGCCAATCTGACTCAAAAAATAAATGAATAAATAAAAATCAAGAAGTCAAAGGCCCACTACATTTCAAGCTAGTTGGATCATGTCAGCACTTGTTTTAAGCAAGTCATACCTGTCCTGTAGTCGCTTTCTTCAATCATATTCAGTCACTGTATGGGGAAGATAATGAATTTTTTTTCCTCACTAAATATGACAGGAAATTTTTTTATGAAAGTTAAATGAGCAGAAACTTATAGTGAGAAATGAAGTGTATTTATAAACACTAAAGAGTATCGAGCTAGCTAGCTAGCTAGCTAGCTATACAATACATTTTATAAAACTCTGTCTTCCTGTCAGTTTTTTTTTTTTAAATCTACATGCACAAATACAGCACTGCAAATAAGTGGTGCTGAAAATATTTATGTGTGCGCCAGATTCAACTGTGTCAGTGCAGATTTGGGTCCGTATACTGCAGGTCAGTGAGTGTGGCTATGGTCAGGCCAGCCGCCTGTCGAAGTCTAGCCAGATTCCCCTACAATTGCTTTCGAGTGCCAACTGCAAAAGAAAAGCCTAATAAGGCATTCATATCCATCTGTTGTTACTATTGCGGACTTGATGAGCTTGTTTTTGAAGTTGGCCCTCGCAGCACATTGCATAATAGCCTATGAGCAACCGATGTGGTAGCAGGCTTGACTTAGCTGGCGCAAACATCAACAGTGTTGGGGTAGAGGCGGGGGGCGAGCACGGGGGGGGCCGCAGAAAAGACGGTCATCTCGCTCTTACTGTACCGCGACTTCGACGGTCCATCTAAATTTGTCTTCATGTGTAAGTAGTCCGTTGTGCAAAACAGATTGAGGACCGGAACGTTACCCTAAAGAAGTACTTATATCAGCTGCATAGTCCCATATGAAAGTGAAGGGTGAGTAATTAATTTTTCAAAGGGGCCGTCTGAGAAACTGAAAAATCTGTCGAAGGCCACAGGAATATGCTAACTCACTTGGATTAAATCTGAATGTATTGTCTTTTTGGTTCAATAAACTGGCACTTGAGTAACCATGCTATGTTGTTTTAATTTTGAAATAAAAAAATAGTGAAAAAACTTACAATTGGTCACATTAAAAGGATTGACATATTAACATTAAATCATGATTCAAACTTTTTTTTTTTGCCCATCGGTGATATGTGCTGTATCTGATTTTTTTGAATTTCAATTCAAATTTTTTTGAAATCCAACTCAGGCCTCTTTCATATGTGGATATAAATCCGATATATACAGTATTTGATGCGTGTGAAGTATGGACGCTCAGGTCATGCTCTTACGATCTAAATGTCATCAAGTGCAAATATGTGTTCCATGCAAGCTTTGTAGAGTGCTTGGGAGACTACTCAATCGCCCTTGCATCTGCAAAGTTCTTTTGAGTACCATATTTAATGCACTGTAAGGCCGATTTTAAAACTGTTTTGAACTGTAGGGCACACCACATTATAAGGTGCAGAGAATAGTAACTACAATAGTGTCTCTGGTTGCACTATGCATCCACTAGATGGTGCAACGCTAAAGGCAATACAATTCAATACAACAGTGGTTCTTAACCTTGTTATTGATTCTGAACCCAACCAGTTCTTATGCACGTTCACTGACCCCTTCGTTAGTTAAAAATAAAAATTTGATTTTTTTACAAATTCAAGACATTAAAAAATACATTTATTTGTTTTTTAAATTTTTGTTTAAAAACAAAAAAAAGTAAATAAAATTACATGGCCTAAGTATAGTTTTTTTAATAGTTGTATGACCTACTATCACGACAGTCACACAGTGACTACTGAGTGAACTAAATTTCCCGCAGCACTGATTGGACAAGCAATGTAATGTGATCATCTGCAGCCAGTGATGGGTAAGCAGGTGTGTCAAAACTAATTGACATGTTGAGTCGGGTGTGTCTTAACCTCCATGGCAGAGGCTCCGTCGAACCCCTGAGACCGATTCACTGAACCCCTAGGGTTCGATCGAACCCAGGTTAAGAACCACTGCAATACAATAAAGAATGTTATGAAGACAATTGATTCAACAAAAAGGCAAACAAACCTCGTGGGCTCACATCCACAAGGTGATAAATATCCTTTAAAGTCTTGCTTGTCTCTTACTTCCTTTGTTTAATCAGTAGTTAACTAAATTTTGTTATTATCTTCGTAAAGTAGTTGTCTGTTTGAGTGTGTGTTGGCGAATGCACATGTCAATTAGTGTCGGGCAGAACCCTTTTAGGTTGCAATTAGTTCCTGCTAATAATCACCACTAGATGGCATAGGAACACAAACAGGGAAACAACTCAATGGGGAATATAAAGAGCGTTAGTCTCGTTAAATTAGGCACATCGGGTTATAAGGCGCATTTTATATTTGATTTAACTCCCCCCTGAAACATGAAGCATGAAGTTGACATTTGGTAATAGAAATAATTCAGCCTTGCTGATGGTTTATCTGTTAGGTGTGGCAATGACATGACACTCTCTTAGAGTTTGCATCTTTGGAGTTTTACAGACTTTCTGCTTCCTCCAGCGCCAGTGATATAAAATCGAAGAGACAGAGACATCACAAATGTAGTCGATTGTTGTATCGCAAAAGACATGTTGCAGACAGTAAGCACTGTCAAAATAAATTGTGTAAATTATGGAGTGTATTGTCCTCTACTGCATACTGTTCCATGCCTTACTCTCACAACTACTGTCAATGCACATCTCCCCCTTCTGTGTTTAGAATTTTCTCCACCAGCCTCCCCACTCAGCGGCCTGTATCCATCATTTTGCGCCGAGGACCACAGACTCAGAGAGGTGGACCCTGTTCCTGCGTGGGACTGGAGCGTGAACTGGATGGAGGAAATGGAAGCTCAGTATAGAGCTCACTATCCTGGCAGAAATACAAAATCCTTTAATACTTAGGGAATTCTTTTCCCAGGTTTGTCAGAACTACAGGACATCAAAGTGGATCAACACAATTTTGTCTTCGCAGCACTGCAACATATAAAGCCTTTAAGTACTTTCGGCTTTCCAAAAATGTTTACATATCCAGGTGTAATGTAGGACAGTCTTTTTTTATATTTTTACATTTCTTTACATCTATGATCTTGCATTTCTGTAATTGTTTCCTCAGGTCACCCTATGGAAATCCAAATACTTAATCTGAAATCCTGCAAATGACCTCCATTGCGTTGTCATTTTTTTTCCCCTCTCCTTGTATTACTTTCACACATTAAAGAGGAGGATAATGAGAAACCTCCCTTGGGCTGTTCTCACCTGGTGTGTTCTGAAAAAGACACTAAGCCAGTGAGATAGAATCATTAAGCACAAAAAAAATACCAAGTGAGCTTTTCTCACAGCAGATGTTTGCTGATTTTCATGTTGGCTGGAAGATTATATAAGAGCTGACAGCTCAGCAAGTAGCGTGTTACCTCCTAATTTTTTTACTGGCATACTTTCACAATATTTAGTTTGGAACTATAAATTTAAAAGACGCTCGCTTTGGGCCCTTCCAAGTTCATGCCACAAATTGAAAATGCTATTTTTAGGGCCCCTGTCAGTCACATGACATTAGGTGTCATCCCTTCCAACCACCACCTAAGATGGCAGCCCTGTATATCTAGCAGTGGTTATTTATAGATGTGTAAACATCCATTAAAGAGCGTTTTTTTTTCTTGCTTATTAACTTCTTATTCCAATGATTTTTATATACTGTATTAATTACCCTTATGCAAACTGTAGATGAAGTGTTGAAATCTGTTTCAATAATTTGCATTATATAAAACTAATTTGCAATCACATATGCTTGAGCATTTTTTAATAAGGTCTTCAGCTAATTTAAGATAAGAAAACCTTTATTCATCTCACAATGGGGAACTTTCCAATTTTTATTTTTATTTTTAGTTTAGTTTGTAAGCATGCATTTACATGCATGTTTTAGTATGAGTGTGTGTGTGTGTGTGTGTGTGTGTGTGTGTGTGTGTGTGTGTGTGTGTGTGTGTGTGTGTGTGTGTTTGAATGATAATACCGTATTTTCCGGATTATAAATGGCTGTGTAGTATAGGTCACAACAGCCCTAAAATACAAAATAAAGAAAAAATATACAAAAGTCACCCTGGAGTATAAGTCACATTTTGGGGGGAAATTTATTCAATAAAATCCAACACCAAGAACAAGACATGTAATTTAAAAGGCAATTTAAAATAAAAATAAAAAACAAGCTGAATTAGTGTACGACATGCTAATGGGGGTAGATGCTTCTACGTTGCTTACTCATCGTCAACTTATCAACACAGGCCTAGAGCGCCCACTTGCGATTTAATGTGAAAATGACATGGGAAATAAGATCATGTCTGAATAATTTCACACATAAATCGCTCCAGAGTATAAATCGCTCCAGAGTATAAATCGCGCCCCCGGCCAATCTATGAAAAAAAAAAAAAAAAACCTGTGATTTATAGTCCGGAAAATACGGTAACACATACATGTATACAGCAGACCTGATTCTTCATGTTTCGATGTGAACCTCGAGAGTATGTTGTGTCAGCCAGTGTGTGTGGCGCAGTGGAGCTGGGGGCTTTTGTGAAAAAACATATGACTTTAAATGAAGGAGACAGATGAAGGATAATCCCCTTTGTCGTCGACACAAGCACCCTCACACACACATTCTCACACACATTGATTGAAAATGCAGCACAATGTAGATTCTTGTTAACACGGATATTTGTGTTTTCTTGAAATGTAGTTGTTGTTGTTTTTCCTCATTTGAATGCTTCGCCTGTATCCTAATTGTCGATTCAGTGAGCCTTTGCTGAAGAATAAACTGGCAAAGGACAAATATGGTTTTTAAAGACACTGAACATAAAAAGCTGATCCTGACTGGGCCTGTGCGATGCAGCTTATAAATGGCGCAGACAGTAAAGCCCTTCTTTACTCAACGTCCCCAGTCCCATTTGACCCAGGTGACCCAGATACAAGATGAGGATTATGGGGTGGGGGGTGCTGCGCTTTGCAGTTTGTGCGAAAAATGGTATTTCTTATTTACTGTCAGAGTTGCTCATGATGAACATCATGATGATGAATTACTAAATTGTGGGATGTTCTCACAACTTTCAAGCATTTTCCTTCAAGTAAAGCATCATTATAAAAAACGGTGGTTGGGTGGGTGGCGGGGGTGTGTCCAAGGCACACCCAGGCCAGCCTAGATACAAACTCTCCCCAGCATGTACGGGATCGTCTCCAGGGCCTCCTCCCGGTGGCACATGCCTAAACACTCCACCAGGGAGGTGTCCAGGAAGCATTAGATGCCTGAGGCACCTCATTTGGTTTCTCTCGATGCGGAGCAGCAGCGGCTGCCCAACTCGGGAACGACCTCCAAGCGGTGTTGGGCGTGCCTTCGGGCTGCGAACGGTTCCCAGTCTGCAGCCGACAACTGGGTCTGCAGGTACCCGGGTCGCTGCGGCTTTCGGAGCCGCTTTGGGACCCAGTTGGAGGTTGCTCAACAGCAACAGCAGCAGCGGCTCTACTCTGAGCCCCTCCGGAATGACTGAACTTGTCACCCTATCTTTAAAACAGAGCCCAGACATCCTGCAGAGGAAACTCATTTCGGCCACTTCTATCCAAGATCTCATTCCACACTTTGGGTGTCCATTGTATCATTTGCAATTGACCAATAGCGCGTGAAGTTAGTTCTTATTAGCTTTTGTTTTTTTGGGAAAATGCTTTATATTAGTTGCACAATGTGTCGTATAAATTAAATAAAAATATGATTTTAAAACATTTGAATAACAACTGTCCATCAAATACAGCTGTAAAACAGTCCGCAGTTAGATGAACCACCACCAAAAAGTCTTAAAGCTTGGATGGTCTCGCTTTCCATCCTTTGCATGCCAAGTTGCCAACCTCTAAATTGGATTTGTGGATCGTATTCCTTTGGAAGAATATTCCACACAACACTACAAATTGCACGCTCGCATCACCTGGCAGTTTTCCCTTGTTCCTAGTGGGAAATGCTTGTTGCACTCTATTTTGAAGCCTCTGCACGGCGGCCACCTCCTTCAGGAGTTGGACCGGGATCATTTTTTCCAGTTGCCCTCTTCTTCCTTACAGCCCTGGCTAAATTTTGTTATTACATTTTATTATTAGCAAATGACCCATTGCTTAAATGGACTGCAAGCTAATGAACACTAACCTAAGTCGCATTCAGAAATTCACCCTGATGCCCCTGCAGTACTCTGAGAGTCAGTGCATTTGGACAGGTGCTCTGTTCTTTTCATTTACGAACACCGTGTTCTGGCGCATTCTGAAGAAAACAACAAATTTGAGCAATGCTCTAAGTTTCTGAAACGGACACATGATTTCATATACTAACAAGAAGAATAGACTCAACTGTTGCCATGGGAACCTTTGCAGTCTGTAACACTATTTGGGAATTAGTCCCGAGATCCCCTGTTAGCACTGCATTGCGACAGTGTTACATATACAAGATTTCGGATTAGTTCACATCAGAATATTCCTATACAATGCAGCCTTGTTTTTGAGCTGGGAGGAGAAAAGCAATTGTTAATCCCAATCAGTGTTTTAAACTGAAACATTTTATTCCGAGCTTTAGTGGTTTTGTCTCAAAGAGTTCCTTATTCATTTGCCTTTCACAACCCCATCTCGAACTCGCCAAATAAAGGCTTTATTTTAGTTTCCTCGGTGTATGTGTCAGAGTGGCCAAAAAGTCAGAAGCATCCATCTCCCCTGTCATGGGCAAATTAACATGGAAATTGGGGGGTTGCATTTTGGAATTAGAGATCAGGGTTTAAATGATGCCATCCCCTCTCGGTCATCCATTCCTGTCGTTGTGTCTTTCCTCCTCTCTCTGGCCATCCAGCCTCCTCCTTTAGACCCCAGTGGGCGTTTTGGCTCTGTCACCACTCTAATGAATGAGTTGGTGAATTATAGCTCAGAGGAGAATGGAGGGAAGGTGATGGGGGAATTAAAGGATAAAGGGTGTGGGTCATTCTGTTGAAGGTCAGCGATGTAAATCTTTTTCACTGTCATCCTTTGCTGTTGCTTGCTTGTTTGTGTTCATCAACAAGGCACACTGAGGGTAGACTATATGAAATAGAATTTCAGTGGTTCAAGAAATAAAAGTCCCAGTCCCTCCCAAAAAAAATTCATGTATCAGTTGAAAATTAATAATTACCGTATTTTCCGCACTATAAGGCGCACCTAAAAAGCATTAAATTTTCTCAAAAACTGACGATGCGCCTTATAATCCAATATGCCTTATATATGGATCAATATTCTGATTTCTTGGACGTAGTATTTTAAATGTTCTGTAAAATGCTTTGTTGCAGCTACAGTGGTTGTGAAAGCGCTATATAAATAAAGCTGTATTGTATTGTGTTGTATTCCCTTTAGCGTGGCGCCATCTAGTGGATGCATAGCTCCACCGTAGCCACGATTGTAGCTTCTATACTATGCGCCTTATAATGCAGTTGCGCCCTATATATGAAAACAGTTTTAAAATAGGCAATTCATTGAAGGTGCCCCTTACACTCCAAAGCCCCTTATAGTGCGGAAAATAAGGTAGTTAAGAACATAGCAATGGAACAATGATCACTGACCCAAATTGTTAACACAATGTGGAAAATGGTTGAGAATCCTACTCAAATCCGAAGTGGAAAAAAGCTCATAGCCTGATTCAACTTCTGTTCCTCAAGACTCTCACTGTTGTTCAGAATGTACGTGTCCTCTACATATGGACTCTTTACAACAGCTGGGCATGCACCTAATAGGGTATTTCCGGAATCTGAATCTTCGCTGTGTTACGGTTGCGGCATACGCAGCAATACATGATGTCCCACAGGCACTTGACTGGCTTCAGGTTGGGGGATTGGCTGGTCTGGTCAATAGCATTAACGCCTTTTCATTTCATCAATGAACTTGCTGACACACTCCAGCCACATGAGGTCAAAGCTTGAGAGACTTTGGAAGTACCCCGGGGCCCAATGGACAACATATGGTCAGAAGATGTTATCCTGATATGTAACAATAGTCGGAGTACATCTGGCTGGCAAAACAGGTCTGTGCGGGCCAAAACCCAATATTAGAATGTGTTTATGGATCTGCAGTAACATTAAGCTGTACATTTTTCTCCGCAGAGTTGTCTTCATTATGCAAAGTAATACTCATTCATCCCAATGCAGTTCAGTAGCCAAAGGAATGAGGAATCCAAATATTGACTCTAACTCTACATATAACAACCACTTTAATTAGTGTACACGTGTGAACATTGAAACTGAAATCGTCACTTCAACTGCTTCCTCCAAAACAGGTGTCGGGAACCTTTTTGACTAAGAGAGCCATGAAAGCAAAATATTTGGAAATTTATTTCAGTGAGAGCCACATATATATATATATATATATATATATATATATATAAAAAACTGTATTTTAAAAGTGAATTCAACATAACGTCAGTATAATAAGCCTCAATGTATTCTTTTAAATAATTTTGCGATAATACTCACCAATAATGTGAATTTTTTTCCGTTCCTCACGATTGCTAAAGAGCCAGCAAAACTAGTAGAATTATAGTCAGCTTGCCGGGTCCATATGCGGAGTTGCTGCTGGCTCACTTGCACCTTGCTCAGTAGCTTGCACGCTTCCTTTCTGCTGTCTCCCGTAGGGTATTTTGATGCAAATGTAGCATGTCGCGTGTCAAAGTGCCGCTTGACATTCGACCGTTTCATTGATGGTATTTTGTCATTGCAAACTAGACACACCGCAGAACCTGTTCTCTCCACAA